ATCATGAATGCATGAACTAACTTTTCTGCATCAGAAACCAGCTTCCAGAAGACATCAACAGTATTCAAATCCAGACTCAGAACACATCTGTAGCTGTGCATTTACTGAATGAGCTGTGCTATATCTGACTGAGTACACTGTATCTTATACAAACCCTCTTTTAAGTATTTTTTTTTACTTTTTGGATACAGATAAATACATTTTCATCAGTGTCTGTTTTTCTTGCTTTTATTGTCATACTTATTTCTTAGCACTTGTCGTGATTGTTTTATGATTTATTTTTATGTAAGGCACTTTGAATTGCCATTGTGTTAGAAATGTGATTTATAGTCTAAATTAAACTTACCTTGCCTACGTTTGTCAATGGGCTTTATGCACAGATTCACTACTTCCTGAATTTCAGCCAGCTCCTTGTTTCCTGTCTGCAATTTTTGGCCAAATTGATTAATTCAGGTGCGCCTGACCTCAGTAGTCATGGCAACAATAATCAGACACACCTGAATTAATCAATTTGGCCAATAATGGCAAAAAGGAAGTTCAGGAAGTAGTGCAGCTGTGCATAGCCAAATATGACAAATTTCAATTTATTACATTTTAGGAAGAAGCTGAAGACCAAACATTTTTTTTAATATAATAAAAGTGGAGTAGGGTTCACGATCCTATCAACTGAAATTACAAACATGGTATCAGCTTCTTCTTTTTCAGAAAAGTCATGTTGTTTCAATAGGGGGCTTCATGAGCTTCATCTGCAAGATAGTCGTACAATCTGAAGTCTGAAGGCAAAAAACGACGTCCCAATTCCTAAATGTATTTTCATATGTTTTTTTTTTCAAAATGGCAAGACATAACATATTGTTATATTATAACAAAACTGCACAACACTGTTATCCCCCCTCCCCTACCACCCCCCAAAAATGATCATATATCAATATATTTTCATTCACCAAGAAAGAATGCAGGACATCATCATGACAAAGTGATGAATTAAACAGTAGGGAATAAATACAAAGTCCAGACTTATAAATCTCACTCGGTGCATGATATAGCGTGAAGGGTCAGTTTGTGTCTGCTGAGATAGTGTCAAACATCTACAGGATGTGGTCTACTAGGCTATTAAACTCAAAAGATGCATGAAATGAGAAGTGAAATTAACACAAACAAAGAATTAATATGTTGAATCAAATCAGTTCTTCATTGTACTCTATTCAGTGTATTTTGTGAGGTTTGTACATGAACGAGAGGTTTTGTTAGTGCTGTTGATCATAGACACGGTCTGTAACCGCAGAGAAGAGAAATAAAGTGAGAACTGAGATCATCTGAAGTGATTTAGATCAGACAGAACGTACTTGCATTTGAGTATAGGCCTATGTCATCTTTAAATATCTAATGAAAACAGTAGGCTACTGTTAAATTAAATTTATCTTTCTCATGCAAACCAAACAAATGCTGCAACGTTATGGAAAGAAAAACGTACTCCGCAGCACCTCTGAAGAGAATTAGAGCTGGTCAAAAGTAAAAGTAGTTAAAGTCGCTAAAAATTAGTCATTAGCTATTGAAATAGATTATAGAAACAAGTGAAAACACGGGATTCTGTTTTGCAGTGTTATTAAAAGCTAAGGAATAAAAACCAGGATGCGAAACTGAGCCACGACATCAGTATTTGAGCTTCTTTGGTCTTATCAGTGAAAAGCGCGTTCATGCACACGACCAGCGGCACGCACACCACACGGAGGCGCGCAGACTGAAGGAGCCTTCTGATTGGCTCAATAGTTTTTTTTCCAACCCGCAAGTTATCTTGTACAGACATTGTGTTTGTGATAACGGAACGCGTTTAAAGACGTGTTTCATGAAAGCAAGCTGAGGTTTTATTACTGGCGTAAAGCCATTGATGGATACGCTTCAAACGCTTGAAGAAAATGATTCTCGTTGTTTTGCTCTATTCATGTTTTCTTCTGGATGGTGAGTGAGTTCAAATTAAACTAGGCTACTCAAGTTACTCTTTGGAGGATTAACATTATTTAGATTTTTGACATATTTGTGTAATCTAATCTTGTTCTTCAGGATTGTTTGGTGGCGTTAAGACTGATGAGATAAACGTGTCAGTGATGGAGGGAGGTTCTTTCACTCTCCACACTGGTCTTACCGTAATACACAGCGATGATGAGATCGAGTGGAGGTTTGGATCGAACAAAACTCGAATAACCAGAATAGCGGCGGGAAACGTAACTAAATATGATGACGAGAGATTTAGAGATAGACTGCAGCTCGAGAGACAGACTGGAGATCTCACCATCACAAACGTCAGACAGGAACACAGTGGAGTTTATCAGCTGAACATCATTATCAGTAATAAGAAGTCAACCATGCAATTCGGTGTCACTGTTTATGGTGAGCTTTCTTTCGTCGTTCAATTAAATAATATAAATCTTTCTATTTTTGTTTACTTTTGGTTCCCTTTATTGTTTGTGTGTTTTCTAGCTCCTCTACCCGTTCCTGTGATCTTCAGTGACGCTTCACAATGTTCTTTATCACCTGAAAGTTCAAGGATAGTCCTGTGTTCAGTGTTGAATGTAAGTCATGTGACTCTCTCCTGGCTCAAAGGAATGAGTGTATTGTCCAGCATCAGTGTGTCTAATATCAGCATCAGTCTCTCTCTACCTCTGGATGTGGAATATCAGGATAACAACACTTACAGCTGTGTGATCAACAATCCTGTCAGCAACCAGACCACACATCTGGATATCACTCAACTCTGTCAGCCATGTTCAGGTACTCTGGAGCCAGTTTGGTGGATTTTTGTGAAATTGTTTTTTACAATACTGTTTTTCAGTGCTCGATTTATTGTGTTTCCTCAGACTGCAACCTTTGTTTTGACACCACTGAAGCTGTGATCCGATTGGTCGTCACTGCTCTGATGGGCGTGGCTGCTGTGGCTGCTGTTGTTCTTCTGGTTAATGACATCAGAAGAGTTGGAAGAGCACAGACAATCAAACAGTGATGTGCACAATATCTTACAGTAATAATAAATACCCTGACTTTTTGATTATTTCTCTTTCTGCATCATCATTTACCTTTATATCTTTCATTATTTATCTACTGCTATAGTTCCAGTCCAATATTTAGGTTACAGATAAGCAAATAAACTAGCCTGGTTGACACCAGACCCTTCTCAGTTGTAACTGTGAGTGGATCTGAGCAAGCTTCATTCACAGCCCATTTCCAAAGAGGCGTCACCAACAGACATTGCTCAAATGCCTCTGGGCGCAATTGACCTAAAGCCATGTAAATGGGTTTGAATTGGCTCTTGGCCAGACTGACTTGCAGAGCAAATCTAAATTTGCTGTCTTCGGGTTCGAGTCATTCGTTCATCAATGTGACAGAAGAATGAAAGACTCAGAAGAATCAGACCCGAAGACTCGAGAGATGACTCATCATTTCTCTTTCCGGTACTGACATTATAGCCTCTATGGGACTGACAGAAAGAACCAAAGACTCGAAAGATGTTTCCTGTTGTGCATGCGTGTTCAACACAAAATGAACGAATCCCTCTCTGAGACAACTCAGCCACTTACACCACAGCAAACAATTTTGCTGTTCACTACACACTAGTCCGATCCAGTTTTAAGAATTCAATTGGCTTGCACAAATCAATCAGAAAATGCATGAACTTGAACTTTTGTAGTTTACTGAATTAGGATGGAAACAGTGGAGGTTTCATGGAATAGTCAGTTTTTTTTTGTTGCAATTACTAATGGCAGTACACTTTGCACCTATAAGACCATCACAAATCCCATGACAACAGCCTAAATCTTACAGCAGTGAGAACCATCTAAATAAGAGAAATGTAATTAATTTCACATCATTACTCGTGGTTTATTTTTCCTTACTTGTTCATGTTTTATTGATGAAAAAACGTAAGAATAACGTCAGAACAAGAATAAGGATCTGAATTATGTTTTTTTTTTATTGTGCTCATTGCATGTTCAGGGAAAGGCTGGATGAATATTAGCTCCATTTTCTTGATTTGTTTTATTTTGACAGTGGATTACAGGATTTCTGATTCACAAGTTTAATAAAACCATCATATTTAGTTCCAGAAGACAAAACAGTAAAAAAAAAACACAAAAAAAAAAAAAACACAAAAAAGACATATGCCATAAAAAAGGTAATAAAAAGCTAAAACGGACACAGTTGTGCTTATAGCATTAAAGGTCCCCTGACATGAAATTTTCATTTTCTGAGGTTTTTTAACATTAATATGAGTTTCCCTAGACTGTATTTGGTCCCCTCGTGTCTAGAATTTTCAATCGTTGTAAACCGAGCTTTGGCTATTTTTCTCTTCTCTGCATCCGTCTGCATCTCAGACGCGCTGATCTAGAATCTCCCCTTATAAACGTCATATAGTGGAAAGGTTACTCCCCTTTCTCTGCTTTGCCCGCCCAGAGACGTACGAGGACGAATTTCGGGCTTTAGAGAGAACATAAACTGCGTTACACTGCACAACAAAGCTCTTGCTGTACATCATCGTGTCTGCATTGGAGAGAGTGCAGAAACTGCATGATTATTCAATAAGATCTTCATTCTCGCGATGGACAGACTGTCATCTGCTGCTCATCACAGAAATATTTTATGTGATGAGAATCTAAATACTTCAAAAACTTCTCACGATTCAGCAATCTCGATATCTGTAATAGTAAAAACGTATAACAGCTGTAGTAAAACGTATTCAAGAGAGTTTCACATGTAATATGTAGCTATTTCATATGCAAGCATGTCAGCCAATCACAGCAGTCGGCGGTTACATTGAATCCCTCAGCAGACACACCCTTCTAACAGACCATTCTAAGCAGAGACTAAAATCAGGCTAGGAAAAATTCCTTTTATTTCTAAATTACTGACTATTTTTATAAATAAAAATATTTACTGACTATTTTTATAAATATTATAAATGACTATTTTTGATCTAAAAAACATACTAACATTATAAGGGCAACCCAGGAAACATTATAGAATAATAATAAAAAAAAAACATGTCAGGGGACCTTTAAACTCGACAAGTCAATGGTCTGTAAACTGTATACAGACTAAATACACAGATCAGTGTGTAATGCAAATGAATACATCAAACAAAACTTCCTTCTCTGTTTGTACCAAATACAGCTCTTGCCAATTTATAGCTCATATAGCTCATTTGTATTATTACAGCATTTTTTACTGTTGCAGTTGGGTGACTCATCCTGATCCTGGGTTTTGAACTGCATCGAAACCTGCTAAAAAAAATAATTTAAAAAAAACCTGTAAAAACTTAGAGAAAAATTATCTTATATGCAAGTCAGTGGTTTTATTTACCTGCTTATGCAACATCTAACTGACCACTATAGGTTTTTAAAATTAAAATTATTTAAAAAATCATTCAAATTAATAACGTGTTAAATAAAATAATGGTGGTGTCCACTGAAGTGAAAATGATTAAATATGAGATCACTAATTTGAAAAATTAAAATAAAACACATTAGGATCTGTCTTAATGAATCTTCTGTTTTAAAACTCATGATACAGACTAATGAGAATAATCACAAATAATGGAGAAAGGCAATTGATCAGTATCTTACCATGAGGGGCTTGTGATTAGTGAACACAGATTTGAATCTATTATAAATGCTGAACCTCATTAAAATATGCAAAGATACAAATATCGACAAAAATACAATTTAATCTCTTCGAGCAATTTGAATTTAGTGATTGGAGTCTACACTGTCTATTTAATTTAAGGCTTTTGTTAAACTTTAGCTGTAGTATGTAATCCCCATTTTTCATATTATGTTCAGAAAGGCACACATATACTATCATACTACTTTTTTTAGTACAGAAGCAATTTTTCCTTATAACAGAATAAGATGTTTCGTACCAATGGTGTTTCTTTGTTTTTTAAAAAAAAACATATACAAATGCATTAAACAACATACAAACATGTCGTAAATGATGCTGAGATTAAAAACAGATCATATCAGCAGTAACCATGTTAAGTTCGATTTCTCTACTGACACACAGAGATGCAGCTCACACCTCACAGTACTCTTGTTTCTTCAATTGAGCTGTAGGTACTTACCCCTTTCTTTTTTTCTCTCCTTGTAACAGAAAATCGCTACAGCAGTCGCAGATGCAACCAGAAAGCCAATCCCAAACACAAGACCACATACAAGTATATAATTTGTGTGAGGACCTGGATCTGGACTGCGCGGGTCTGGTCCTATAACAGTTCAATAATATAGTGTGAATATAAAAGTGCAAGACTGATCACATAAATTCTCTTATACAAATTAGTCATTTTGTATAGAATTTCTATCAGAATATATAATATATTTTTTGTCAAATGCGTATTTTTCAATGATTTTTTGGGTGGGAGGGGGGTTACGATGTCTAAATTGTTCACAGAACACAGATGTAAATAAGATATTGATACTGAAAGATTTGATCTACTCACTGACAGAAACACTGATGTTCCTCTGTATGGTGTATGTGCTGTTGCTCATCTTCAGATGATAATCTCCAGAGTCTGTGATGTTGGAGTTACTGATCGTCAGAGAACCAGACTGATAGTCCGGATGCAGTCTGCCTTCAAATCTCCCATCAGCACTAAATAATGAAAACTGATTCTCCCCTTTATTTATTTTAGCTATTAGATGGTCTACAAACTTCCACAATATCTGATCACATTCCTGTATATTAATAACACCAGTGCGCAGAATGATCGAATCTCCCTCGTTCACTGACACCGTCTTCACTTCATCTGCCAGGCAAACACATATGGAGAACAAACAGGTTACTCAGAGATTACATTATCACAAAGGATTTTTACTCATCATTTTACTCAATTTTACCATTTTATATTATCAACAAGACATGTGTCAAATAGTCAAATACATGAACACTTCATGGCTGCTTTACATCGTTATTTGAACACACGCCAATGGCCAAATGCATTTAGTATGTGGAGGTTACTTTATTTCACATTTGCATATTTCCAAATTTGGCCATTAGAGATTATACGTGAACATAACACAGTGGAGATGACAGAGTTTGGATGCCACTTATTTTGGAATGAGAAACATAGAAAAAAATAGCGAAGTCTCATTTGTTTATATTAGTTAAAGCATTCACTAACTAACAAAGAGGAATATTTTATTACATCATTTATTAACCTGTGTTGATGCTAATTAATATAAATGTTTATTCATGTTAGCTTGCAGTGCATTTACTAATGTTAACAGATGCAACTTTTAAACTTAAAAATATATTGGTAAATATTAAGGTTAACACTAACTGAGAGTAATAAATGGTGTACTGTTGTTCAGTTCAGAAACCTTATTGTAAAGTGCCCCCCCCCCCCCCCCCCAAAAAAAAACCAAACAAACAAACAAAACAAAAGAGAATCAAGAGGCTTCCTTAAATTCCTTCCAACTCTTCATATTTCTAACGTAATATCTCTAAACAAAAAAAAATACATATATACATCTAAACAAGTAGTAGGCTACAATACTTTCAGTATAGCCTGTAACTCCCGGGCCATATAACAAACCTGCATGCATTTTCTATTTGTTTATACAACGTTCATGAATAATACATTTAATTATGATTGGTCAGGTTGCCAAATTTTTATTTGTCAAATTGGCATTTTATGATGTTATTACAAGAATTGGCTGATTTTCGAGTTTGTGTTTAATTGCTAGTTATGACTTTATTGCGGATCCAATGGCGATGACCAGATAGGCCTACAGTTGAAGAAAAATAAATCAAATTCACAGACGAATTTCCATTCAAATTCAAAACCCTGAATTGAATTAATAATTTTTTACTTAATCATATATGCCAGAATCTGTTTAATTTAGTGTAAGTCTGTTCATTTAAGCTACTAAACTGTTTGCTATCAAAATAATAGCTAGCATCTCTATATAAATCTTATAAATTTACAGAAACTGAGCTACTCACCAACAGTAATAAATCGTTTTCTGTGTAAGATCATACTGCTGGTGTTGATCTCCACTTTATAATCTCCAGTCTGATCTCTTCGGATGTTTCTGATGGTGATTTCTCCGGTTTGATCATTGAGATCAATGTTACTCCATCTCGCGTCAGGGCCGTTTAATCTATTAACTTGCTTGAGACCATCGCTGGTTCCGATGTTTGTTTATAATTTACTGCACGATTTAAACATTAAAGTTTTGGTCAAAATGTCCAAACAATATGTCATTCGAAAGCTGAATAACTCGGGATTCGCTGTTTACGACCCTAACGCCACAGCGATAACTTTATTTTAACTCGTAACGGGATTTGTTATCACTTCACGCTGAATCGTAACCGGAAGATCTGAACTGTTTCTGTCTAATGTCAATAATAGATCAATTCGATCCTGCTTACACCTGTTGATTTACATGTTGATTTCAATCAAAATTAAAAAAACACACACAGAAAAAAAAATTTAGTCCAAAAAAATAAGAATATCGACGATTTCGCCTTTGTTTGCGTAGTATTTCTTTAGAGTTAATTATACGTTTTTGTAGTTTTTACAATAAATTACGCACTCCAAAGTTGTTTCAGGAGTAAAACGTTATACCATTACTCATTGTTAGAGTCTTACGAACAGAATAACCCCGCCCCTAGCGCACTTTCTGCTGCGCTGATTGGTCAATCATTGAATACATTCTAACAGCGCCACCGGCTGCTGGAACGTCCAAATTTCCACAAGCTATAACAATCAACGTGCACAGTCCGTCAGTGCAACGCTAGTGAAGTTCTGATAAATAGTGATTGCAGCCAAACAATAGATCAACACAAAAATTATATATGTGTTGCTTTTTTTGTATTTATTTTGTATTTAGCCATACGTATTTGTTTAAGCATTACAGTTTTGTGGTGAAAACTTGTATCTTAATATTCACATGGAGTAATTTATGCAAAACTAATGCGACTAAACAGAATTGCTAAAATAATTACTGATAACAGACATGTTTCCCAAATGTGTCTCCTATTTTTTTCATTGGTCGAACAATTAAAGTGTCACGCTCAAATTAATTCCATTGGTTGAGCCAAGTTTGCGGTTGCACCGGACAGGCCATTTAAAGAAAACAGAACTATATTTCTTAAGCACCTCATGAATCACAGTGTTAAGACTTTGTGAAATATATTTACCTTTGGATGGACTAAAACGGTTTATAATAATTTTGACAGCAATTTATCATAAAAACATTTAAATTAGTCGTTAGGCAAAATGAATAATGCTTGATTACTTAGTTTCATTAATTTAGATATATTGTTAGCTGCTTTAGGCTTGTGGAACACTACTAAACAGGTGTAAATGTGTGCAAAATCACAAAAAATGATCTGAACATTGCAGAATATCAGGCAGACTAAATTTTGATAAACCTCATATTAATTACACAAAGAGTGCTCTTTTTAAACAGAACTTCTATAGAGAAAACGCTCACAGAATCTCATTTTGAATGGAAACCCAATCTAAATCTGACCTATAAATTGCAAGACTTGTGGCTTTGACATCTCCGCTTTCTGAGTTGATCTGACACAATTTTGTATTATTACTAATCTATATATTTTTTAATCAAAAAAAATATATTTATCTTACTTTCCAGAACATTTAAGTTACTCTGACTTATATTTCTATAGCAATGAAATGATTTCTATTTCTACTGAACAAACTCACAACTATTATCTTTCAAACAAGACCACAGTTATGCATGTAGTTCAAAAAGTGCTCCATGATAACGGAACCTTTTTAGTTGTGTATGTCAGGTTTGGTGTTCAAGATCAACTTGTGTAGTTGACTTTAACAGGTTAAGCGATCAGTGTTGATGACTTGATCTTTAAACTTCCACAGTATCTGATCATCTCTCTGTTTTTTAGTAACACCAGTGTGTAGAGTGACAGTGTCTCCCTCCAGCACTGACACTGACTCCACAACATCTGTCTCAACAACAAACACATGAGGAGAACAAACACAAACAGTTGAAATCAGAGAGCAATTAAAAACAAATACTTCTACATATGTATGTACAGTGGTGTGTAAGAGCATGAGACCACACTGAAAAGCTTATTTAGCATTTAAAACATGAAATATTTGTAAAATGTGCACTATTTCTAGGTCACAAAACAAAAATAAGTATATTAGTCTCATTGACTAAAATCTTAAATGATGCTCAAATTGTTTTGCTGATAAAATAACTTTAAAGAAATGCACACCTTATTTAACTTGAGTTGCTGTAACCACTGTTTTTTTGTACCAACAAATAAATGATTGTGTTGCAGACGTCAGGTTTAACAGGCCCTTAATCTGATCATTATAAATATTAAGTCATAAAAAATAATAATAATAAAAAAGCACATTAGCGTCTTCTGCATTTCAGCCAATCAGGAAATGATAACACAACAGGACTTTGGTTACAATTAGAGTTTTTTATTGTTAAAAAAAAAAAACTGAAAATAAATAATATAAATAAAACCTGCAAAATATGTCCAAAAAATTGTGGATTGAAAAATCAATGAAATTACAAAAGAAGAACCTGTGATCTTATTTTGAATGTTTTGGTAAAAGTCCATACTCTAAGCATTTGTGTAACAGTTTTAATGTCTGTCAGATATTATTGATATTTCTTTTAAACCTATTCCTTCCAAATTCCTGTTTTTATGTTTAACTGTGTAGTTAAAGGGATACTCCACCCAAAAATGTAAATTCAATCATCATTTACTCACCCTCAAGTTGTTGCAAACCTGCATGAGTTTCTTTCTTCTGTTGAACACAACGAAAGATATATAGAAGAACGTTTGGAACTTGGGCACCATTGACTTCCATAGTATTTTTCCTACTATGGAAGTCAATGGTGCCCAAGTTGCAATCGTTCTTCTAAATATCTTCCGTTGTTTTCAACAGAAGAAAGAAACTCATACAGGTTTGCAATAACTTGAGGGTGAGTAAATGATGATTGAATTTTCATTTTTGGGCGGAGTATCCCTTTAACAAATGAATAAAAACAACCCCAGTTGACCTGCATGTAAACAACATTTAAATTGTGCCCAGACAAAAATGAATCCAGAGACGTATCCCACTGTAAGACTTGAGTTACTCACCACGGACAGTAACATTGAATCTCTTGGATGTCTCATAGCGGCCTCTGATGTCTACTTTATAAAGTCCCTCTTGTTCATTCGTGATGTCCTTGATGGTGAGAGAGCCATTCTCACTGTCCAGCTCCAGCCTGTCTCTGAAAGCATTGATTGAGATTTTGTTTTTTCCCTCAATTTTCGCTATGATAAGTTTATCTCCAAAGATCCATTCTATGGTATCATCGCTCTGTAGTTCAGAAACACCAGTGTTGAGAATGACAGAATCTCCCTTCATCACGGACACGGGCTTCACGTCATCTGTCACAGCCACAGAAACACCTGTAGAGCAAGCATTCAAAGATTCAACTTGGCAACTTTGCAGTATCATATGTCATTAAAAGGATACTTCAGGATTTAGCATTAAGCTTTCTATTAGCAGGAAACCTGTAGTATTTTTAAATTAACATGCTTTCCACCCTCATATCCCCGTGAGACGAGAGATTTATGTATTTTTTGTCTGGAAAAAATCCTCTGATGACGCAAATATCGTCATTTTGCGTCATCTGAGGATTTTTTTGGCCAGAGGCTAAAGACTATAGGGTCTGTCCCGCATGTCCTCACCTCGCCCATAGAGGGCGATCTCACTTACAGAATGAACGCATAGTGTCGGCCATCTTGTTTGGAAGCTAAGCTAGCGGGCTCTTGGTCTGTGGAGAAACTTGAGTAGTATGGGTTACCGTCCTCTTTTTCCCGGACATGTCCGGCCGTCGATGTCCGGGATTCAGCTTTTGCTTTCTGCAGTCGCCATTCATTGTTTACAATCACAGCTTTTGTTTCAATCTAACTGAATTCATTATGATTGGTGAATGTGAATGTAGTGTTTACATGAAAGCTTAACAAGTGATCGGTTGATGTGCGTTTTAACATTGCTAAGAAAATTCCCGCTCCTCCGTGAGAGATACGAGACCGGCGCGTCGCTCATCGGTAATCACGCCACCGGCCTCGCGCCGTTCTCCCGCGGCCCTCACTCGTCCCGCACGCCACAGTAAACAGAATGAATGGCGACTGTAGAACGCAAAAGCCGAATCCCGGACATTTTGGGCGATCTTGAAACACATTTTCGGGCAGACTCGTCACGGAGATTCACTAGTAGCCTAGACTTGTTGTTTAACGACTGCGCTCTGTTACCGGTAGGCATGGCCACCTAGGGCAGCGAAGCAAGTGCATTCTGGGAGTTGTTGTCTTTCATCCACATAAGCCAAAAATACTTTTCTGGCTTTTCTCAGTCTAGAAAGCTCCAAATTTAAAAATGATTCCACATTTCTAATACACAAATGACCCATTTTAAATACACATTCATCTTTCCAGAGGTGAAGTATCCCTTTAAGTAGGGTACAACAAGGTATAAGGCATATTTTACTTCCTTTTTTTTAAAAAAACACTAGAAAAAAGTAGCACTATTAACAACCGCTTTTGATGATGCACATGGAAATGTTGCTGATCCTTGGTGCGTTTTCTGACAGATATGCAAAGTTGATTCTGCGCTAAATTTACCTAACATTTAATGTTTTTTTGTTTTGTTTTTTCAGTTAATGACTGAATATATTTTTAGTAAAAAAAAGTATTGTTAATAATTTTCAGGGTATTAAGCGACTTAATAGTTTTAAGCGACTTAAAGCCACTTAATAGTTTTGTTCAAGGTAATTAAAGCAACAGTTTTTCAATAAAGGAAGCGACATGTACAAGTGTGGTATTTGGAGTAAAAGGCGCTCCTGCTGTCGGGGCGAAAGGTACAATTATTAACATGATAATAAACAGCTAGCTGACTTTTACATTTGTTGACAGATTCATGAGAAATATCATATATCAAATTGGGAGTCCACCTCAGAGATAATCAACATATTTATAATGAAACCATCCTATTTAGAAACATGATTTTAATCATATATCACAAGAGGAAACTGCTGCTTTATCGAGCTTTAATGACTCTGAGCGAGCTGGGATATAAATGAAGCGCTATAAAAGGGAGAAGGAGTTGCTCGATATGTCCCACCCTGTCTTTCTGTTTCTGTGGAAATTATGTCAAGTGTCAACACAGTGAATAATGCTGCAGGTCCCAACGCACTTGTGGGCTTTTAAATACAGTATATTTAGCCATTGAACAAAAATGAATTCTTATATTTTGTCAAACTAAACCAAAAATAGTACAAACTTTGCTTAAAGGATTGTTTTGAACAAGTATTAACTTAGACATTATTAAAAAAAAAAAAACATATTATTTTAGCTAGTTTGTGCTCCATACTGCCCTACAAAGGCAAAAGGCAGTAACTGACCAGAGTGTCAAACTGAGAAAAATGACTTTAAAGTTTTTTGTTTTGTCCACACAAATGTATTATAGGTAGAGCAATGAAAATCTGGTGACTTGTTGCCCAGATCAAGAAATGTGTGTATATAAAAAATCTTGTGCTCAAAGTTGACTTTTGACCCTTATTTGTCAGATACTGTACTCTGCCTTTGTATTATTTACTAAAAAATAAGGAGTCGTGCAACGGCAAAAGGCAGTAACTGACATATAATCAATTTGCTTACCACCATTTAGAAGATAATTAACTGATCACCTTCATTAAAGTCTAATGGGAAGGGAATCGACCAAACAAAAAGTTGTATGTGTACGTGGATAATATTTTGCAACAAATACACTTTATGCTGTTTCACTAACGCTAAATGACGCTTAATTACAGAAGACGCTTTGAAACTAGCCTAGATAACTTGTGGATAGCTTGGTCTGAATACCAGCAAGGGACACGGACTATATGTTCAAAACCTTTGAGGATTGTGGAAACATCGTAGATGACGTGTATTGCAATGGATTTTATGGAGTTACAAGAAAAGGTAGGAAATGATTGTTTACTGCCGCTGTGCAGTAATGTGTAGCATGATAGCTAGGCTGGGGCTAACATGTCAACATTGAATAGGCTACATTCCTGCAATGTCTGCATCTCTGGATTGTCGGCACAGAATGGATTGCTGAGTGATTTTTAATTATTTAAGAATCAGATGTCATGCTGTCTAGGTATCTATTGGTGTTTTGGTTGGTGTTGGTGTGCTGGCTAATAAGTAGACTAGTTAGCTTCTTCGTCAGTTGCTTGTCCTAGCAATTCAAAATTAACGTTAAGTATATGGCACTTTCATACTTCATCTAATGCATTATTTTATAAGATAATTTATTACCTTGGTCTTCATGTCTTCTTTTCAACGCCAACTCCACCATCATTCTCCCTCGAGAGCAATTTGCCATTCTTACAGTAGTTCAACACTTGATAAAACGACCACTTAACGCATTTGACAGCTCGTTTTTTATTTGGATATTTGTGTGTTGTAGAAGTAAGTTATTTAGTGACAATACATGGACAGTAACTGAAGCGTGGCAAATTTTTATGGACAGTAAAACAAAGGCAGATCATCGTAACTGCAAGGTGGCACCGTAACATCTCTTTTATGAATGGCTTAACAAAGGCAGAGTACGTAACTGGACTTTTGCGTCGAAGATCAAAGCCAAAGAAGGGTAACTGCAGTTACCGCTTTCTGCCATGGTTGCTTGTATGGTTTTGGGAGTTACTGTGAACACAACCCTCTATTTTTTCGAAAAAACAGTTAAATTGAGTATAGATATTTATCCACATGATAAAGGAGGTCTTTAATATCCCAAAAATGACATTAACTCATTTTTGACCAAAAATGCAGTTACTGCCTTTTGGCTTTGTAGGGCAGCATACCTCATACATTTATACAATTTTTAAACAAGCAAAGGATTTTTTTAGGATTTATTTTCTCACAAAATCTCTTTGTCCATCAGTGTTCAATAACACATTTTTTTCTTCAAAAATAAGACTATTAGAGTAGTGAAAAGCATTTTTCTGGGTGTGCCTTTGGCCCCGAGGGTAAACTGATGCCTCGCTCTATTCTGATGTGCTTTAAGCGCTCACACTTCACTTCAGATATGAAGAACAAATGGATGGTTTACTGTTGCACAGTCAAAAAAGGCACTTACAAAATCCTTTATACAAATTGGGCTTGCGTCCAGCTGAGACATGGCTGAGCTGACATTGGTTTAAAATGGTCCATCCATCCATAGTTTGTTTTAGAGAACATGATTTGACAAATTTTCATAATACTGGTTTGCTAAACAAATAAAGCTTGGTTAGTAAAATTTTTCAACCGGCTTAAATTTGGATTTGCAATTACTACATACATTTATAGTGCCATATTAAAGACATAGGCCTAGTTTATGTCTGATTAGACTTACTGGAAACAAAAATTCAATACAATTGTGTATTTGTTGTGTTAGTTTCAGATTGTTTTTGAATTAAAAGGCTCACTATTTGTTCACATTTTAACTAAAATATTCGTAAATTAAATGGGAGTTGGGTTTGAGGTTGCTGAATCATTCTTAAAGGGATAGTTCACCCAAAAAGGAAAATTAGCCCATGATTTACTCACCCGGAAGCTAGTTATTTTAGTCGATGAAGTTTTAAATATGGATATTTTTCAAACATGAACGTATTACTTCACTGCAGACGACCTTTATTAAACGCTCGGCGTCATGTGTATGCTTATCATGGATGGATGCACTTTGATAGCTAATTTTAATTTTTGTGTGAACTATCCCTTTAAGTAAAATCGATTACAGTAATTCAACCCTACCTACTGTTGTTACATGAGCACTTAACAGCTAACAGCAGTCTATTTTTTAAACTAATGATGATAACTATGGTTGTTTGGACTTTGATTCCTTCTTTGTTTGCTTGCAGTGCATCTCAAACCTTTCCATGGAGTTTCTCCCCACCAAATTTGTACAGGGCACATCTGATTCAACTCATAAGCTCATTAGTAGGTAGTGCAAGACCCATGGCTGCTTCATTCAGAGATCAATAACATCTTAATATGCTCTATATATTGTGGGTCGCAGAGACAATCTGCGCTCTCTAGTGTTCACTACCGAACACACACTCGCACGCACACCTTGCCCCAAAATACTTTAAAATCCACCTGTCATTGATTTATCACCACATCTATTTGAAGAAAAGTAATAAAAAGTGCATGTCAAGAAATTTAGATAGGAGATAGGCTATACAATAATTGTATAGGCAAAAAAAAACATGTGCATTATCATCTTGCGTTAGGCTATATCGAAACTGAAAGTGTCGAATTATTACAAATTGAATGTGACTCACCGTCCATGAGTAGAGCTAATACAACCAAAAAAAGGGAAGAATGGTTCCTCATGATGCCGTTTCTGACCGCATACAAACTGAATGACAGCAGTAATGCAGGGTACCGATGATGGGCTCGTGTCAAGCCAACAAGGTCACGTGACTTCTGCAAAAGAGGATGTGTTACGTCAAACTATTTCAAAGCGTCCCAAAGTGCACCTAGACTAAATCAAAAGGACAAACTCATACAGAAACTCATTCATGTTTTTATTCGGGATTTGTTTATTCTAAGACTTTTAGAGTGTGAGTTTTGGTGTCCAGATGTCATAATAAGAATACGAATAAACCTGAATTAACTGCTACTAATAAAACATCATGTATGCGTTTATTTTATTTAGTGTAGTCACCACCACCACCACCAGCAGCAGCAGCAACAACCATAATGTACTATCCTAGTTCAGCTTCATATTTTGATGCCAAATCTGTAATTTTTCAAAACAATGCATTAAATTAAGCCCAGAATAAATTTAATTCAGATAATAAATACTCGTTTGATGTTGAAAACTGGGTGGTCAACGTTTGAAGTCTAATCGAGCCAAAAAAGGCCGACTTACCTGAAAGGATTTACTTTTCCGCATTTTACCTGCGCGTGCGGACAGACGCATGCGCACTACAAAGTACACACATGCGCCGTTGCGCACGTGGACTCCGTACGGAGGCATTTGTAGCCTACTAGAGGGTTATTATGTAGGCCTTATAAATCCACACCCCAGCAAAGCAATCTCTATAAAATTATGATAATCATTACTAAGCCAAGTTTACACACTACGAAATAATGATTTTTTTTCTCAATAAATTAAGTTATTTTCTTATTAGTGTAGGCTATAGGTATCCATAAACATTTTTTCTGTCAAGACACCTTTCTAAAAAACGTAAAAAAGACAATGAATTAAAAAATAATAATAAAACGATTATGAATATTGATCAACAAACCAACAAAACTATTTCCATTTGACAGTTTACTTTTATTATTTATTGTTACAATTCTCATTTACACATATTGAATATTTTGTACTTTAAAGCGAAACAATCCTAGACCCACTATTCCCATAAAAGTAAGCAGTGAATCAGCAGTTTTTAAATTCATATTCAGATCGGGACCATTACTAACTCAAAACACAAAATACGATCAGTTTTTACACCAAACTGAATAATAAATGATTGTAAAAAATAATATAAATAATACGTACCAAAATAAAAACAACAAAAAAGTAAAGCAAATTAAGACTAAGGCCTGGTTTCACAGACTGGGCTTAGATTAAGCCAGAATTGGCCTTTAGTTAATCATGACAGTTTAGCTTTTATTAATGTGCCTTAGAAAAAAAAAATATATATTACTGTTGTGCATCTTGAGACAAAACAAGGACACTAACACATTTAAAAATAGCACTGTGAGTTATTTTCAGTTAAAACAGCTCAAACATGCATATTAGTCTGGGACTAGACTTGAGCCTTGTCTGTGAAAACAGAGGATGATTTAAATCCACATTTACTCATTGAGCAGCTGAGGTTTATATCCAACACAAGTTAAAAAATAAAGTTACAGTACAGAGCGATATGTCTATTTGAAAATAACAATGGTTGAGGTCAATCAGTAAAACACAATTAATGCATCACATCACAATAATCCCGCAGACACTCAGCATGATACAGCATATAGGATGTGTAAAAAAACACAAAGCATCCGCATTCATTAATTGCACTTTAGCTTATATAGGCTAATGAATATCCACTGAAATATACAAACATTAATCAGAGAATCATTAAGTGTGGTGCATTACCTCTTATATTATCTAGTCCTATGCAGTCCGAGAAATTTCTCATTAGGGCAGATCTAGATCAATAATGAGGTTGAAGTATTTTTAGAGGCATGTCACATACTGTAACACACACACACGCATGACATTTAAATAAAATTCTCACCAGCCATTGTGGTTTGTGGTTTTCAAAAGTCAGGATTTTTACTGGCCACCATTTTACTATCAATACCATGGGAAAAAAAACCTCCATATAGATATTTTCCATATAATATCTCATAATTTGGCAACAGGTATATTAGGCTGCTGTCACTTTAAGGCCTGACACACAGATTCATTATACTGTTACCACATCCGTTTTCTTTCTCGACTGATTATGGTCACTTAAAACATGATTGTCTGTTTATATACATATGGCTGAATTTTATACATAATTTATACGCATAGACAATGTACAACAGCTTTGAACATGGCTCAACCAATCAGAATCAAGGACCGGAACTATCCATTGTTGGTAATCTGATAATCTTCAGAGTCTGTGTTTCTGGTGCTCCTGATGGTCAGAGCTCCAGTCTGTCTCTAAATCAGCACCATCATGTCTTCTTACGCTCTAATGATCCTTGCTATGACGTTGCTCCACTTTATCACATCATTCCTTACCTGAAGAATTTAAACTGACAGATTCTGCCTGCCTTGTTTCAACTACAAAGGAGGACAGGATTCAATTTAACATTTTGTTCATGAGAAATGCGGAAAAAGTCCATATTTGACTCTATAAATCAACTTGTTTTAGTTTACTTAAGCACAGGAAGCTCAGTATTATCTGGAGGAAACACTCACCACGATCCTGAGACCCTGGTTGACGGGAGTTACACACATTCCCGAACAAATCTGTGAATGAAGGTAAAACACTGAACAATAACAACAGAATACAAATGTGTGTGCACAGTTCAGCAAGACTGAGGATTAGAGAACAGTAAGCAGACTGTTATGCAAAAGAATAGCTACATCTAGCTTTTCGAGAAATCGTCTAGCTTATTATGCAAGCTGCTGGCCATATTTCAGCTGCACGATTAACAGTAAAAGATCATGACCTCACTTCAAAAACGTACTCCGGCGCTTCTGACTTTTGCTTTGCCGCATCCAGTGTAGACAGCCTCAAGATTAGAAAATACCAAATGTAGAGAGACCACAGCGTGTGGCCTGCCTCAAAATATTAGCTTCTGGCCATATGAAGCCAAACAAGTTAAAGGGTTAGTTAGATAAAAAGTGTGTAATCAACAACTCACCCTCATGTTATTCCAAACCTGTAAGATTTTCGTCCATCATTGGAACACAAATGAAGATATTCGATTTGAGAGCTTTCTGTCCCTCCATTGATAGTCTACGCAACTACCACTTTGTTACTTGAAAAAGTTCATAAAGAGAATGAAATACTAATCCATATGAATAGAGCGGTTCGGTCCGAATTTTCTGAAGAGACATTATCGTTTAATATGACGAACAAATTGAGTACATAGACATTTATTACCCAAAAATGACAAAAACTATGACTTTATTGTAGGAAGACAATACAATGCTGAATAGAGTCGTAGTATGTTATTTTTGGACCAAAATGTATTTTTCGATGCTTCGAAACATTGTAACTAACCCACTGATGTCACATGGACGACTTAGATGATGTCTTTATTTCCTTTCTGGACAAGGACAGTATACCGCACATACATTTTCAATGGAGGGACAGAAAGCTCTCGGACTAAATCTAAAATATCTTAAACTGTGTTGCGAATATGAACGGAGGTCTTAGGAACTTACCCTTTAAGACATATCAACATTGATCAGAGAAAATAAACAGAAGCTCAACCCGAAACTGCTTGACGCACAAGAACAAACCTCATTGGTTCTTTCTGAAGCTCAAGTGTGGGAAAACATAACTATTTTAAGAGACCACACCTCACCCCGTAATTAAACTTACCCATCACTGGGGTTTAAACAGATCGTACGAAAACGTACAAATGATATACGAATTAGCCATGATTCACCCAAATGTAAAATAGATACAAATTGCTGTGAGATTGTGTTGCCATGACACATGATTGAGCTTGTTCACTATAACAGATGTGTGTTGAATGTTAATATGCAGAGATGTATAGTAACGAAGTAGAACTACTTCACTACTGTACTTAAGTACTAAAAGGCTGTATCTGTACTACTCTCTACTAGAGTATTGTTTTTTTCTCACACTTCTACTTTTACTCCAGTAGATATTTTCGATGAGTTTAAAGGGTTAGTTCACCCAAAAATGAAAATTAAGTCATTAATTACTCACCCCCATGCTGTACCAACCCCGTAAGACCTTCGTTCATCTTCGGAACACAAATAAAGATATTTTTGATTGAATCTGAGGGCTGGATCAGTCCTACATAGACAGCCTGAGGGACTGCCTCTTGACGGCCCAGAAAGTCATTAAAAGAAAAGGTTTAAATATTCCATGTGCCTACAGCGGCTCAATTATAAGTTTATTAAGCGACGAGACTACTTTTTGTGCGAAAAAAAAAACGTAAATAACGACTTTATTCGACTTTCCATTACTTCCTTATGGGCGCATGCGCGAGAACTGAGACGAGACCGTTCTTCTTCGACTACTTTTTGTTACCGGCTGCTCACCGCTTAGGAGTTTTACCGCCCCCTACCGTATAAGATGACGTACTGATATAGCCGGAGGCGCAAAACGTTCTGTTTACAAGCAGTACGTCATCTTATAACATCTCTACAAAAAGTAGTCTCGTCGCTTGATAAAGTTATAGTTGAGCCACTGTAGGCACATGGAATATTTAAACCTTTTCTTTTAATGACTTTCTGGGCCGTCAAGAGGCAGTCCCTCAGGCTGTCTATGGAAGAGTGATCCAGCCCTCAGATTCAATCAAAAATATCTTTATTTGTGTTACGAAGATGAACGAAGGTCTTACGGGGTTGGTACAGCATGGGGGTGAGTAATTAATGACTTAATTTTCATTTTTGGGTGAACTAACCCTTTAATACTTCTACTTCGATACTTTTTTTAATGTTCTGCTAGTTACTCATTACACATTTATACAAATGTTACGAACCATTCCAAACCCGCATTATCGTTGAGCGGTAGATGGCTCTGTTATCAGGTTTGATGAAGTTGGCCTTCGTGCTGCTTAAATCACACGCCCGTTTTATAGTGTTTTATAGGGTAATGGTATTGATTGACACCGGCCCCGTCCACACTACTGCGTTTTCGTTTAAAAACGGAGACCTTTTGCTACGTTTGCACCTCCCATCCAGACTAAAACGGGAAAAACGAAGACCTAAAACGGAGAAGTTTAGAAACGCTGCAGCTCCGTCTGGCGTTTTGAATCTCCGGAGGGCGTTTAGTGTGGACGAGACAAAACGGAGGACTTCAGAAATGCTGACGCAGAGGCTGACGCTCGGCTCTATGATTGGGTGTTATCAGTCTTGACGTGTCCTTCCCTGATTCGTCAATTTCAACTCCCTTCCAAATTATTACCCCCCTCGTTGAAGTCAGTATCTGATTGCCTAATCCTAACCCCACCCCTAATCCTAACCCCTCCCCTAATCCTAACCCCTCCCCCACAACTATTCCTAAACCTACCAATACTAGGGGGTAATAATTTGGCGGGGGGTCGAAAATAGGCACAACAGCATGTCTAGTGTTGGTGAATGGTCACGTGATCCGCGTTTTCAGTCGTTTTAATGTGGGCGGAGATCATTTCTAATACGCAGATAAAACGCTGGTGTGGACGGAGATCGTATTCGTTTTAATTCTCCGTTTGTAAATGAAAACGCAGTAGTGTGGACGGGGCCACAGACATTGACAACTAATGCAGGGGTTTTCCTGCAATGACATTTTTTTTGCGGCCGCCAAAGCAAATTTTTATCCCGCCAAAGCGCCTTATTTGATTGCAAGTTCAAACTTTTGATTGCTTTCTTTAATAATTACATGACACAATACTTGTACTTTTACTTTTAGTACTCAAGTAGTGAATTTTAAAATAAACTACTTGCAATACTTAAGTACAAAAAAATGTTGAATACTTTAGTACTTTAATTGAGTACTTTTAGCACTTTAACTTTGGACTGAACCGCTCAATTCATATGGATCAGTTTTACATTCTCTTTATGCAGAGTTAAGTGGTAGTTGCATGGATATTCTTTCATAATTAAGCATTGTTACAATCATCACAACCAGTGTTGGGAGTAATGCATTACAAAAGTAATACATTAAAGTAACATATTACTTTTTGCTGTAACGCAGTAGTGTAAGGCATTACTAATCAATTTTCAGTAATATTTTACTCGTTACATGTTCAGTGAGGCTTGTATTACAGTTGTATTACAGTGTATTGTCTGCTTTTACTTCTTAAAGGCAACAGACTATGTGAAAGTTTTAAAGCAGTCTTTTAGTGCCAGTTCAGAGCGGTCGCGTCTGTAACATTGTTTTTTCCTCATAAATGCGAATACGAAAACTAAAATAAAATGAATATTTTAAGTTCTATGGAGACTGGAGAGCCAACCCTTCCTCATCCGATTTGCGCAGTGTAATTAACAGAATTACAAAAAAATAGATTTTGCCTCCTATTTTTTTGTCACGCATGAATGTGTGTCTTTTCCCTAATATTAAAAATAAAACATAGACTGATATTTGTCTAATGTCTGGAGTCCTTTATACGTTTCAATACATGTATTTTCGGAGAATTTTTATTTCAAGTTTTGACTGCAAATGTCATGTCCATAATGCTGGACTTCCCCAATTTTAAATAATTTATCCTCAACTAGTTTTGTGGTGTAGGTCTACGTATTTTATAATGTTAACTTCAAATAATACTGATAGCCTAATTTAAAGATAAGGCAGCATTGGATCTGGACGGTAAGGAGAATAACGCTGGAGTTGGAAGACGTGTGTCGCGATTCTGTAGGTTCGTGGATCTGAGTCGTATGGCGAATCGCGATTTCGGTTTCATATTGCATATCGTTACAGCCCAAAAGTTAAGTTCTACTTAGTTATTTTGGTGAAAGTAACTCAAAAGTAATACATGAGAAATGTAACGCATTACAATTCTGAGACAGTAATATTGTACGGTAATTAATTACTTTTAAATAACAGTAACAAGTAATACCTAATGTATTACAGTTTGGAAGTAACTTGCACAACACTGATCACAACTAATAAAAAACACTTCCAAAGATTTGCTTTTCTGCTACTCACCCTTCCTTTTTCGAACGCCCACAGCCAAACACCCAACCGCCATAATCACTATTAGTACAATAGCGATTGACATCCAAACTACATGCGAGTGGGATTTTGTACCATCTAAAAGAAATGAACTGAAATGAGCTTTTCTTCTCACTCTTGCATCTCATTTACTTGCATCTTATTCAAATAAACTCTACTAAATAGAATAGTAAAACGAATACAATCCTACCACTTGTGATTCTGAATCTCCTGCATTTGGTCCCAGTGTTATCGGTGATCTGTAGTATATAAATCCCAGAGTGTTCAGGTCTGAAGTTTGTGATGGTCAGAGATCCGCTCAGTTTGTCCACCTTCACTACATTATTAAATATCTGAACGTCACCAGCATCTAATGAGATCTTATCAGTTTCTCCATCGATTTGAGCGATGGCAGTCCCATCGCTTTGACACGGGTTATGATGAACTGGATTGCCTTTTGTGGCCTTTGCAAACCTCCACAAAATCAGATGATCTTTCTGTAGTTTAACATCAGTGTTCAGAGTGACAGGATCTCCCTCAGTCGCCCACACTGCCTTTATTTGATCTGCGTCTGGATCAAACACACCTGGAGAAGTTTCACAGTTGAGTCATTTGCACTGTAATGCATCGTTACAGTCAAAAACAGACAAATCTGTATTTAAAATGCATTATAGGATACCAGCGCTGACCAATGTTTGGGTCAACAGGTAATGTAATTAATAAATGTATAAAGATATGTTATACAAAACACATGTGACAACTTGCCCCAATTACATTTGCCTAATAATTTTGCAATTCGAACACTTAACTATTACATTGTGGTTCAAAAACTCACAAACTGTGGGCTTCCTAATATAGGACAGAGCTGGTAGGTCACGTGACGAGAAACAAAGAGAGAGAGACCTAAAGGCCAGACAGGGGAAGGAAATACACAACCCTTGAGAGAGACATTTAAAAACAGGACAACAGGCTGATCGTGACGGGACCTTCCATTACATATGGATTAAATCTTCACCATTATAAAGTTACAATGGATCAACCAAGTGGGTAAGATCAACCTATACAGTATTATCACTGTATTCGGTCACGACTTATGATGTTCTTGTTTTTGCAATCACTGAGAGTTTCTAGTCATGCATGTTAGTTGATTGTAACTGTAAGTGAACTTCATAATCATCTTACATCTTTGTATTTGTAATGCAACGTCCCACTTAAACTCTAACTCATTTCAAAAACTGTAATAAACTGCATATTAACAGAAAAATAATCATGTTCGAAGTGCTACTCACCAATTACAGTCACATTGAATTTCTTTGAGGATTTACTCGTGCCGAACATGTCCACTTGATAAAGTCCCGAGTGGTTGGTTCTGATGTTCCTGATGGTCAGAGATCCCGATTCAAAGTCCAGCTCCAGCCTGTCTCTGAATCTCCCATCAGGACCGTCTTCTGTCGACGATTTTTGGTCTTTGATATCAGCTATGACAGTGTTTTCAAACATCCACAGTATCTTATTGAATTTTTGTGTTTGATTAATACAAGTGTTTAGAGTGACAGGATCTCCCTCCTTCACTGTTACCGACTTCACACCATCCGTCTCGAAACCAAACACACCTGAAGAATAGATGTACACAGTTACTCACATATTAAACTCACTGTGAGCACACAAGCTCCATTAATGGTTGAAAATATGTCAAACAAAATACAGAATCAAAATTTGACCGAAAAAGCCTTTGTTAATAAAGGTACACAAAATACCATGAAGATTTGGTTACACTATATTAAGGTGTATTTGTTACACTGTAATTATACATTTAAGTACTGGATAATATTATGTAGCCTGACTGCATAATATGCTTACTATGGGTTTGGTTTGGTTTAGTTGCATTTAATTATGGATAACTTACAGTTATTAGCTAACTTAGGAACCACATGCAACAACGGCACTGTCAAAATAGCGTTATCTAAGTGGGTAAAAATAAGCGTGTAAGCATATAGCAAAATCTGCAAACACGTATAATTCAAGAAAACTACAATGACGTCACGACGTTTACACATAGACAAACGCGTGCGCACGATGACTACGCAAAGCACACATGGTGCATCGGAAACGATGGATTATGTCTATTCATTGAATCCCGCCACCAAAAACAAAGGCATTATTACATGTTATTCAAACACATTGACAGATAAAATCGTGCATTCGTTCCACTTCCGGTTTCTAAAGCGTGAAAACGAAACTGCTGGAAAAATAAACAGAGTTCAACGACTTACCGTCAGCGAAAATTAAGAAAATGAAGAAAAATAATATTTTCATGTTTCTGAACAAGACAGTAAAATATGACTTCTATAAGGCGGTTTTCATATAAATATGTGCGTTTTCTGGTCGTTGAATGCGTCTATCTCCGAGCCGCTCCCACTGACGAACAGACGATTACTGACTGAAAAAAAAAACACTGCGGAACGATTTTCATAAAGATATCTATAAAGCAGAAAGAGAAATCAGTGCGTTTGTGTTTGAGGGAAAAGGCGCTGAAAAAGACCTGCTGGAAACAGCCAAACATCAGCATGTCATTTGGGAAATCGACCTACTGGACAGCGCCACCTAGAGGACAGAGTTAAAGACATCTAATTAAAGTGGTTTGTTTGCCAAACCATACATTTATCTTACCAGTCTTTCAAAGGCACAGAATACCGGGAACTGGACCATTGAACATCTAGGTACCACTTCCTCTTTCACCGCAGATGTTTCCAGTGTTTGTTCTAAAAATGAGTTATGTTTTCAAATTTACATTCTGAATCTTTAAACTTTTAGAACTAGAACAGAAGAAGCTTAGAATCCTAGACAGAACAAAGCATAAGACGGAACTAGATACAATTCAACTAATATTCTCAAATCATTAACATCATACATTACCCGACACAAGATTACAACAAAACTCCATACATTTATATGTAGCCCATCATATACATAGATGCTGTAGAAGTGAGCTTTAAGATAAAGTGTCATGTTTTTGTGTGTGTGATTAAATTAGTTGTAGTGGCACAGTATACATTTTCTTTTTTTTATTCTAAATATTTCCCAAAATACAACAAAAAGGCATCATAATTTTCAATTACAGCCTATAGCAGAGTTTGTAGAACACCCTTTTTTGGCTACAACTCAAATCAATTCAAGTGATTCAATGGCTTTGCAATAAGTGCTGTAACTTGACATTCATATTACTTACGAATCCTCAATGATTTCAATAAAACTTAAAATTTTACATTAAAAGAAAAAATACTTATGTCGGCAGTGGCACACATAACTGAAAACATTCAACATCCGTATCAGTGTTCACCAAAACTATCCTAATTTAAATAGAATAGAGTGACAGTAAAACATACTTCTAGAGCAAAAATGAGGCACACAGTTTCCAGAACTCTATGGAAAATAAACAAGACTATGACTATATTGTAAGTGCATATTAATACCAAAAAAACAGGCTCATCCTGCACATGAAAAAAGCATCCATCACATTTCGCACTAAGGAAAACAATCTTTTTAACAAAAAGTAAATCTGCAGTCGATGCCATTTGACCTAAACATCCACCAAAAACCTTTAAAGCAGCCGTGAACACTCCCACCAGCCAACATGATTATATATATGTACTGAAAACAGGTAAATGATATGCATTTGTAACCTAAAATCAACATGTAGTGCAAACCGTTCCAGCAAATGAACAACACACAAGCATGTCCCTCGGTTTATGCCAAAGTAGTCGTCGGCGACTCATTATCCGCAGCTCGTGTATATTGTCAGAGGCTCTGAACTACAATGGATCCTGTATGCCATTCCCTTCATCTGAAACACGACACACAAACAATGCAAGTATTTACAAAAATCAATGAATCTCTCTCTCTCTTTGTAAATATTGTTTCAACAATCACAAATGTCAGTGTATATATAGTACGAAATCTTACTCTTGTACAAGTTTAGATCATCCTCATTGTTAGTATCTGATGAAGTTAATAGGAGGAACCTTGTTGTCTTTGTTTGCGATACCAAATCCCGACCACCAACACGAATAAAGCAGCAACCCCCACACATATGCCCACTATAACACCTGTGGGCATACCCGTTTCTGTGATGGACAAAGGGAGACGGTCAGTTCAATAATAAATCATCTCACGTTTATGTGAACCTTCAGTCGGTTATAAACATGACTAGCACAAACAATTATTCCACTGAGACACCTGATCTACTCACCACTGACAGTGACGCGGTACTTCCTGTATTTAGCTGCTTTGTTTTGACCGGTCACCTTCAGTTTATAGAGTCCAGCGTCTGTGGATTTGGTGTTTGTGATGGTCAGATATCCGGTTTGATTCAGATCCAGTCTGCCTCTGAATCGGTCATCGGTTTCATCATATGAAGGGGTTTTAGTGGTCTTTTTGTTGATTTGAGCTATGGAAGTCTCTTCATCTTCAAACATCCACATGATCACATCATAAATCTCGATATCGGCAATATCATGCTTTAAAATGGCAGACTCGCCCTCCGTTACTGGCACTTTCTTAGGGATCGCATCTGAAATACATAGACAAAACGCACAAAAATAACAGATGTTAATGATTGCATTCAGACAATAATTCTATGATCTTTTTTTTTTAATACATCAATATCGATATTATAATTCTTCCATTAAATTGTACATATTTCCAGTTCACCACTATATACTAAATATATTCTTAAACATAGACAGTGATTTCCATATTTCAATTTAAGCTGTTCATTTTCTTTATCTGATTCGTTACATTTACCCAATAAGAAGGAACATTATCCAGAATTGTTTAAAGTATTAAAAGAGTACTCTATTGCTCTTATCTTTAATTCTCAATTAAGATAGCATTGCTAAAATTTCCTTAATATCTTAAATTTAAAGGGATAGTTCATTCAAACATGAAAATTTTCATAATTTTACTTGCCAAAAAACTAAAATTTTCATAATTTTACTAGAAGTTGTTCTAAAACTGTATGAATGTGTCTCTTCTCTTAAGATATTTTAAAGAATGTCAGTAACCAAACAATTGATGAACCCCATTGACTTCCACAGTATTTTTTTTTTTTTTAAATCATAAAGGTTTGGAACAACATGAGGATGAGTAAATTACTCCAGAATTTGCATTTTTGGGTGAACCTTTAATCACAATCAACCATTGATTTCTTACCAAGGACGGTGACAATGTAACTCTTGTGTATTGTGTGGGTGATATTGACGATCTTCACTTCATAACGCCCGGAGAGTTTGACTCTGGTGTTTTTGATGGTTAGATCTCCAGTCTGATCATCTAGATGTAGTTTGTCTTTGAATAGTGCATCATCAGTGTCGTATAATAAGGCGTTATTGGCCTTGATTGTTGCAATGACGTGAGGTCCAAACTTCCACTCCAACTCATCATCTCTCTGTATTTTGGTAACACAAGTTTCTAGTTTGACAGAATCTCCCTCCGCCAATTCAATTGTCTTCGGTGGATCTGCCTCAGCACCAAACACACCTGGAGAACAATCAGAAACATATAAAACACCTAAATAACAGATACAGCGGAGATAGTACCTTTTAGATTATTTCAACAGTCTACTACATGTAGTCTACAATTCTGGACTAAAAACGTGCTTTACTGGTCCAAACTCCCTAAATATACACTGACAGGCTTTCTAAAAAAATATATAAATAGACAAACTTGTGAATAAATACAAAATATGGTGGTTAAAGCATTTTAATTTAATGCAGACTACATACAGGGTCTGAACTCTGTTAAATTATTGTTGTTTGATAGGCTACATAGTTTTATTTTAAATAGCCCACTGAAACCATACATTACATATTATCTGTTATAATGGAAACAAACTGCAGTCAGACTACTTTAAAATGAGCAAATACAGACCATTTGAGGAAATCTTAGTAGAATATGTAAGGCTGGAAGCGAATAAAACAAAAACTGTCACTCGATATAAACAGTTTTAAATGAAATCTCGCGAGATAGAGGGCGAGCAGAATGCGGAAACTGGTGTGCGATTGTGTGGCTGCGATATTAAAATTGAAACTGGATCATACAGTAGCGCTTTGTAATGTATAGAGACGATGATATTTTTCTCCTGATACATCAACTGAAAAGGGATTTACGTTATTTGTTGTTTTTGTTTATTAATTTAGACGCCTTAGCATAGCAATAATGGATTATTTTTCAAAAATAAAATGTTGTTAGAAACCTATAACGTTACGCGTATGGAAACCATTGAGAACCAACGAGGTGGATAATGCTTTATATAGAACCTACGTTGTGACGGATAGTCACCAAAATACGGGTAAGAAAAATATTTTCATATACTCCGAAGCCGTTTTATATCTGTGTTCATCACCACGGATGAAATGCCGTACGTTTATACAGAGACCTGTCATAGCACAAAAATGGTGGATGATACGAATTCACTGATAAAAGTTTTGGTAAATAATCAACGGCCGGGGGTGACATAAGCCGGATTAACTTGACCAAAATAACAATTTAAACTGATATGTTGAAAAAATTGACAGGTAGAGACATTGTTTTTCTCCTTACGTTGATATTTTTACTCCCAGAGTGGACTTGACGCCCTTTGGGCGGTTAATGTTTTCCCCATAAAACACTCAATTCTTCCACGAGGGGGCGCTTTACGGTTCAGACAAACGATTTCTCCATTGAGTAGCATACAAATCTCTGGAGGGTTTTGACTACATGTGTACAATGAAATAATTACTCTAATACATTAGTAACACGAAAAGGTACTTAAAAATAAAATAAAATCCCCGCCCCTGCTATTTCCATACAATTACTGTTTTTAAAATCCGTTTCTTGTAAATCTCAAATTGCTGTGATTAGTTCATTCCGATCACCGCTGAGAAAAGTAACATGTACCACGTGACAACGTCATCAATGAGCTTCAGCACGACTTATCACACTGAGAAAAACCAAAGGTCAACATAATTATGTTATAAACGTAGAACTAGTAGAAAAACAAGGCAAAAAACAGAGCGAAAAGAGCAATCAATAAGAAAGAAAACAGAGGGGTTCACGAACTGTTCACACATGACATTTCAAGGGGATTGTACATTGTGTAAATCATTTCTAAGCATTTACAAGCTTGCACACGTTTTTCATTTTCCCTCATGTAAAATTGATAAGAATTTCCAGTGTCCTGCTGACACGCTGTAGTCTAAAACTATTTTACACAATGCTTTTCTTTTTCTTGTATTACATTAAATGAATTTAAATGAAAAATTCAATTATTTCAATCTCCTGACTCATATGGGGGAACTGCGTGCACAACCACCATATAATTATAAGTAATGATTCATGTCGAAAAAAAAAGTGGTTTAAATGACTTTAAATAGAGTTTAGCATGTCAAACTTGCCCCTTTGAAACAGATGGACTACCTTATGCTGCATCCAAAGCATGTATGCTTGTAATTTAATGCCATGTCAGGTTTTTTCATGATGGAAAAAAAGCTTAATCCAGATAAATAACTAAAACTTTAACTTTTTAGAGTGTAATAATACTAAAACTTTTTTGGGTGACCTGTCCCTTTAAGTGATTAGCCGTTTTCACACAAAAGCAGCGTGTTGAGAGACCTCTCCTCCGCTGACTTCCATTCAAGACAGAAGGGCCTCTTTTCTCCCAGTTATCAGTTACAACTTTTTATGTAAACGCCAAAGGCTCTTGCTGGGGGAAGGGCTCTTTCTAGAGAAACTCTTTCATAATGGCTGCGCCTTGACATGTCAAGATTTCGGTTAGTATTGGGAACAACTTTTTTTATAGTTCCACAAAAGACAGGCCAATTGGAAATTAAACATAATTTTACATAATGCACTCACTAACCAGACGTTGTTGAAAATAGACAATTGACATATTAACTTAAAAATCAAAAATTAAATAAAATGATCATATTGATGGTTAAAATCTGCTGCCTTTGATGTCCCGCTATTGAGAATGAGAATGCGGAGTACACGTATCACTCTGCATTGCATTGTGGGAAGGACTCGCCATCTTGGAAAGATACGCTATCCGTTGGCTACTTGGAAAAAAAGTGACTTTTTAAAACATTTCGCATTACAGATAACAAATTCACTACACTATTTACTATAACAAATTAAACAACTGTAGTTGAATAACAGAGTATTAATTTTATTCGTTTGTGTTAAAAGGCGAACTGTTCTAAAATGTGTTGCTTTTGAAATCATTCTTTGCTCACTGTTGTCAGTTAATTGACAAGCAGTTTCTCTAAATAAAGCTGGCTGGCATTGCTATTTAGTCTCTCCCGATATAGAACCCCTTTAATCCTCTGGGGACCAAGGGCTATTTGGTGTCCTTGAAATGTTCTGACATGCCCTGACATTTGTGTTTTTTTCAGCTGCTTAATGGCACAGGTGAAAATACACTATATTTAGTAGAAACAGGGCAACCGTTTCAGGGCAAGCGTCTCCTACCATCATGGTCAGACCAAGGGTAATCCATCAACCGGAAGTTGATGCCTCGCGGGAGCTGCCATCTTGTAGCAGAACTTGACTTGCGTTAGCATTACCATTGACTCCCATTCATTTTGGCGTCGAATAACTTTACATCTGAGGCGTTTGAAGACCCCATTTGCCCTTTATTTATTTCTAAAGAAACACGACAATGTATAAATAAAATGCTCCATTACCTTGTAGCTTATGTTATGGCCCCGTAGAAGCAGTTTTAGTGAAAGTAGGCCAACGATTGCGTCATATCCACGCGACTCTCTGTCGCACAGTAGAGAGATTACTGTATGGACAGGAGGAGAAGCTCGCGGGCAATATGGGAAACGTGGAGGCAAAATGACAAAATAATTAATCAGAATACCTAGCAAAATTGTCTCCTTCTCCTAGCTCATGGACAGTTCCTACTCACACTCTCCGCCTCTGCATGTTTCAGAAGGGAATGATTCAGATATATGCCACAGTCAGAATACAGACGGGTTGCTCTCGTCACATCTACGTCGTCAGGCTCTGTTTGAGTCTGCGCGTCAGGGACGGAGGTGCTAAAAAAAAAATTTGCCAAAACCGGGCTTCAATCGTCTCAATGGAGATCGCTCTGTCCATTTCTTATACGGTCTATGGCTCAGACCCCGCCCAGACCAGCATGTGACTCCTCACTCTCAATAAGAGAAATCATATAGCCTTTTCCAGTGCAGAGTAAAGGCCAGTTCACATGAAGAATGATAACTATAACCATGACTACATTAGCGTCCACACCACTGGACGATATCCTTCTGTTATTATAAGTGCATGATGTTGTTTTATAGTCTGTCGCTTTAAATACTCTAGCTCTTTTACGCCGGATGGATTTGATTGGTGATGGTTGACAGTTGACGGGAGCCATTGACTTCCATAGTATTTTTTAGGGATGCTTCGATCGATCGGCCGGAGATCGGTATCGGCTGATAATAACATTTTATGACTCGATCGGTACTCACTAACTTGGCCGATCTTACAAACTGATCGCGATTTGATGACGTCAACACGTGAGAGGAAGTATGATGCGTGGGGACTTAAATTATTTGGCGCGCACAGTCATGTCTTCACCGGTGTGAAACTATTACGATGTTTCGAAAAAAAAAAAAAAATTTGCTATTTGCTGTGTATTTTCCAAAGAAATCTCACGTGGAGGAGCATTGTCCAAAATATTTAATACATCGAACCTGATTTGTCACTTAAGAACGAGCCACCGCAAAACGTATGGCGAATATGAAAAACTGGCAACTGCAAAAAAGGCAACGGTAACTAGTAATCTGACTCTCACTCAGCTTTATTTTGTCCTGCTCAGACTTGTATTGGACGATGTTAAAATTACATCAGACTTCTCTATTTTAGGAGATTTTTGTCCTCCACAGTATTGGACAATGTTTAAATAAACCTTATGGGCTGCATTAAACTGTTCCATTTTGTTTATTTGTCTTATTAAGTCAATTAAGCATCGGAATCGGTATCGGCCGATCACCATGACAAGAAATCAGTACTCGGTATCGGCTGCAAAAATCCTGATCGGAGCATCCCTAGTATTTTTGTTTCCATACTATTGAAGTCAATGCTACCATCAACTGTCTGGTTAACAATATTCATCAAAATATATATTTTAAAAAAATGTCTCAGTGAAACATTTGCTCAAAGATTTAAAAATAATCTTTTACAATTTTGTTTTAAAAAAATAATAATAAATCTGTGTGAATATTGTATCTTGATAGAGTTGGATTTGTTTAATAATTAAAACCCAAAACATACTAAATATATGCAGTAGTATACTTAATGGCAGTGTTTCTGTTTAAAAAATATTTTGATCTTTAAAAAAAAAAGAAAATTGGCAAGTTATACTAATGAATTTAGGTGACATGTTTATCCAAATGGACATACAATGCATTCAATGAATACATTTTATCATCTTAAGCGTTCTCTGTGAATCAAACCTATGAACTTAGCCTAGTTTTAATAAACTATACATCAGTTGATTTAAGAAGTACGCGCTGCATCCCATTGATAAATAAAATTAAAGTTGATTACATGCCAAACAAAGCGGTAGAGGTAAAACCACAACAGAACATCTTAATATCCAGCGAAAATCAGCCATAGCAAATAATAAAAAGAATTCTAAATATGTACCCACCATAAAAGACACGAGTGCGAAACGCGTTGTTGCATTTAGAAACGCTACGCAAATTCATAACGTAACGCAAGAACGCCCTTTCAGAGTAGCTATAACTTATTTACGCTAACTAATTCCATGGCGGAGCAAGAGTTTGAAAATAGTTAATCAAATTTTATTCTATATATTACTTCGATATGTTTATAGAAACTCACCTGAATATCAACACATCCGGTTTGATGTCAGAAATGTACCTCTATCGCCCCCTTGAGTACTGAAGTCTGTTTGAACAACGCAACTATTCTCGCGAAAATTCCATCACACCAGTTGTCATGATGTCAATGCCGCTACATCTTCATTGCGAGCACATTAATGTAAAGGCATTTCATGTTGATTTTTACAAAAACGCTTTCTGTTAAAGATCTAAAATCTATACATGTCATAGAAGAAAATGATAAAAATGATCAATATTAGGCCTAACGTTAGTCTACTTTAGATATTATTTTGAAACCAAATTACAAATGTACAAAATGTATATTTAGTAGTAACAAAGAACGTTTATTGTTATTTTAATAAATAATCATAGCAACAGTATAGGCTATTACTAATAATTCCACTGCTTGCCTTTATCTCATGAATTAGAACTAACGCCAGGCTTAGCCTATTGATATAGGCCTAATATTATTTTCAGATGCGGTTGATTCAGTTTTAAAGCTGGCTTGACAACAGTAGCCTACGACATTTCTAAACACGTGAAAAACTGGATCGTGCAGTCGACTGGCAACATGGGCCTAAAAATACCCTGACGCATTTCACCATCATATGTAGACAGCGTTTAAAAAGCTATTAACAAATTATGATTACGATACCAGAGAGAAATAAGGACACGTATGCTGAAGAACAACAGATAACGCAAAAAAAGACATACGACTAGTCTTCTGAAACCATTTTTTGGCCACTATCCAAAAAATGGTATCAACCACAGCTTAAATATAACAATATTTACAATACAAATGGCATCGGATATGGAATTGTAAGGCCCTATTTGCATCTCTGGAAGTCTGATTTTTATAACGTCATTGCGGTGTACAAATCCTACACAAAATACTTGAATAGACATTCGAGAAACATATTTACTTTAGCCTACCTGAATAGCATAACCGCATAAAATGTAATTCTCAAAGACCGACGTGATTTGGACATTGATCTCCAAAAGGCTGATAATAATTATCGCAAGGCCTGAACTTGAAACCAAATATGGTGTCTGAGGCTTCATGATTGTCAATATAGCGCAAATAAAATAACACACGCCATTTTCCACTCTTGCATCCTAATAAACACGAAAGCTGAGTACGTTAAGAACCACGGGAACGGGTATAAAAGCAAAGAACGCATTATTTATTTCCGGTAATATTAATCAAAATCGAAAGTGTTATAGCTACAAAAAATAAAATTGACTACTTACCCTCCACGGATAGTAAGACAAGAAACATAAAATACGCTTTCCCCATTTTGATTGAAGAATTTCTGGAGTTTAAAAACGGTGAAGGTCGTAATAAATATCCATATAAATCCGTCGTGCTGTCGTTTCTCAACCGCACCCAGCCAGATTTCTAACGACAATTACAAAAAACGGCTAAAGAATGACGAGACACTTTTATATTGACTGCGATTTACAAACGATATTCCTTAAGATATGTACGATATGGAAATGGTTTACGGTCGGTGCGTAAAGGCTACAAATACAAGAGAGCGCACAACTCGAAATGGCTGAATCTTCCGTCTGGCAGGTAATGTCACGCGAGACGACAGACTCATAACGCCACCTACCGCACAAAAAAAACATACATGCGCAAAGAAATCCCCCCAAAAAATATGTAAATTACACCTGTGCCGTCAGGACGTGAGTGGACATCAATCTCAATTTTGTGAAAAATACTGTGAGGAAATCTTGAGTTTAATTGTAATGATTCAAAAGAAATGCATGCAATTAAAAATAAAATTGAGTTTAGATAGAGCTATTCCAGATGGGCCTTTACTTGTCAAAATATTTTTTTAGCACTTGGCTTGGATAGTATATTTTGGCATTACTTAGCACTATATTTGTCCCTATATATCATGACTTTCTTTTGAGCATATATAATCATATTGGCTTTTGTGAAAAGTTACTAGCCTGCTTAATATATTTGTACATTTTTTTTATTATTATTATTTCATTTTTGCAAATGAACAGATGTCCTACATAACATTTGATAAAGTGCGGTGTGCCTCAAGGCTCAGTCTTAGGTCCATTGCTACTCTCCATTTACATGTTCCCTTCAATTGATATTATTTGGATATTATTACATATTTCCTCCTTCACAGCTGGTTTATTGCACTAAGCACATTATAGACTAGATATTGATTAATTTAAATCTGATCAATAAAAATAAATAGTGTTAACTAAGCAGTGTTTGGTCTGATAGGACCTAATGTCCCCATCATGGCTTTCATATCTGGCAGATATATTGCCATGCTATGGATTCTCTTTCTGATACTGAATATAAAAGTTAGTTTATGTATTCATTACTTAGTAATTCATATTGTCTGATTTTCATACAGTCTTAATAAAAATGCAGCCCATTCTAAATTCTGCAACCAAAGGTTTGATCATGTCAACTCGTCTACTGTGGCTATCAAATTAAATGTATATTACATGTAATCATTTTAAACTATTTAAAAAGAAACTGTTCTTTCAACAAATGTGTTGTAGAGAAATCTTGACCATTTTTTCTCTTTTCTACAGTCATGATCATCAGAGTTCCAGCAGCATCTGACATGGGATGAGTGGAGATTGGAAATAAGTTTGAAATGGAAAAAGAGAGACATTAAACAACAGATATGCTTGTACATCTCTAATGCAAATAGAACATGTAAGGGTTTTGAATGTGTCATGCATGTTCATAAAATATTTTCACCTGTAAAAATGATCAATAATTTTATTGATATTAATTAAGATTAAGGAAGAATATGCAGAGTCCAAGACTTTAAAATATGTCACTGAGGAATATCAGAACATGTGTAAATCCAAAACAAATGTCAATACATTTTGTCTGTGTTAATATTATTTGTGGCCATGTATAGACGGCTTCTTTTGATTCCTTCAACATCTCTAAATTAACTCTCTAGACTTTATTTTGAGTTTGCTGTTTGTCAGTGATGTTGTATGTGTTTTCTGTTGTGGTGCTAATGGAAAATAAAATATATATTTTTGAAATCCTGCAAAGCATTTTAATTTATTCTATAGTATTCTGATGTTTTCTCATACAATATGATCCAAATGAAATGGTTGCATGATTGAATCTGAACTTTTAAACAATAATCATATAAGTGGATAATTACAATAATTTTCCTATTTATTTTGGGGTGAAAAAGGTGCAAGTATAAGAATTGTAATAACGCTGCCCTATATCTAAAAAGAAAAGAAAGGAAAAAAAAAACAGGTAATTTAAACATAAAACTAATCCAGCATTACTGAAAAGATTGCATCTGTGCTGAGCAAGACAGCCGGATAACAGGTTAATACATTCATAAAACATTCTCATGACATTTTTAAAAATTTAATGAATTTGCTGGATGAAAATACAAGTATATATGTTCAAATAAGACTTGTTTTTTTTATGTAATGTGATAATAAATTTCACATGGCATGTAAAATTGCAAAACAACAACAACAAAAACTATAAACTATTCTTTCTTGGCATAAAAATACAAAAAATTGGTAAGACTTGATTTTAATGCGACCTAGTTACGTGTATTAGTAATAATAACTAAAAATTAGGCATAAAAAAATCTTAAAGGGATACTCCACTTTTTTGGAAATAGGCTCATTTTACAACTCCCTCAGAGATAAACAGTTGAGTTTTACCGTTTTCGAATCCATTCAGACGATTTTCTGATATCAGAACATCGTCTGAACGCATTTGAAAATGGTGAAACTCAACTGTTTAACTCTGGGGGAGTGGTAAAATGAGCCTATTTCCAAAAAAAAAAGTGGAGTACCCCTTTAAATGCATAATTACACTGCAACAGGGACACGTTAAAATAAAGCATGACCAAAAACCTACATTAAAAGTAAAAGAAAATGTTTAAAATAACAGATACAGCTGTTCTTTAGAAGCAAAACAGTATGTAGCAAAAACAACCACCAGATGGCAGTATGATCAGTTATGAAACACACTGTCTAATTATAAGAGCATTGGTTTTCATTTTGTGGATGATTGACAGCATGCATAGAGTTTGAGATGCCTGGAATATTCCCGAGAGAAGTAAAATACGTCTCAACATCATCGCCCCCTAGTGGCTTGATGCGACATCATCATATTCACCTTCATGCGACTGAGGTGCTGTTTGCTCTCTCCTCTTTTGATAATATCTTCTAGATCTGATATCATAAACCACCACAGCGACAGTAGCAACGCCCACCAGAGCAGAGACAGCCAATCGGATGATAGTTTCAGTAAAACCACAACAGTGGCCCGAGCCTGAGGAAAGAGACGCGCACACACAAAAAAGAAACCACTGAAAAAAGTTCAAGATCAACATGCTTGATGTAGGTCTAATATCACAGCTTATGTACCTGGACATGGCTGACAGAGTGTGTTGATGTCCAGATGTGTGGTCTGTTTGCTGACAGGATTGTTGATCACACAGCTGTAATTGTTTTTATCCTGATATTCCACATCCAGAGGTAGAGAGAGACTGACGCTGAGATCAGACACACTGATGTTGGTCAATACACTGATTCCTTTATACCAGGAGAGAGTCACATCACTCACATTCAACACTGATGATGAACACACCAGTGAACAATTTGATGACGATGATTCAGAAGAACATTGTGGAGAGTATCTGCTGATGACAGGAATTGGCAGAGGAACTGGAAAACATGAGAGAAACCTTACAAAGAACTGAGTTTACAATGTATATAGTCATGTTACATGAACTATCTCGATGTTCACAGACTTTGTTGTTATATTTGTCTGCTGCTGATATTCAGAGTCTGTAGTTGGGAGTTAGCATTGACATGACATCTTGTTCTCACTTCTCAAAAAAAAACTGAAATAACACCTTAGTAGTTACTGTTGTGAGGGAAGCTGTAGGGCCGAGTGCCCTTTTCTTTGAATACTGTTTTTGATCATGTTTTTTTTGTATAGCAAGGGAGTTGAGGGAAGTTTGTGTTTATTTCTTTTTGTTAAACCAGTTTCTTAGGTTAGTTAGGACTCCTCCCAAAATTAGTTAGTGCTGATTAGGTTGTTATTTTAGGCCATGCTCTCCCCTGAGCCATTGCTTTCTAGTAACGTATATAAAATATATAGAACATTGGTTACTATATCAACTAGGCAGCTGGATTCACACATTCTTAAAACTAATTTTTAGTAGCATCAGAGTTGCACACTAAATGAGCTAATATTACCACAGTTGTACCTGGACATGGCTGACAGAGTTGAGTGATGTCCAGATGTGTGGTCTGGTTGCTGACGGGATTGTTGATCACACAGCTGTAATTGTTTTTATCCTGATATTCCACATCCAGAGGTAGAGAGAGACTGATGCTGAGATCAGACACACTGATGTTGGACAACACACTCATTCCTTTATACCAGGAGAGAGTCACATGACTCACATTCACAGCTGAACACACCACTGAACATCTGGACACTGATGATCCTGATGATGATGAGGAACATTGTGAAGAGTCTCTGGTGATGCCAGGAATAGGCAGACGAGCTGGACAATTAAGTTACAATAAGTAAAATAACATTTATAAGTGCTAATAATAAGTGCTAATAATAATAATAATAAGTGTAATAAGTGTTTTGTTTTTGTTTTTTAAAGTAAATTGTGCAGAATTATGACCAATCAACAAAGTCTAACAAATCAATCATAAATACTCACCATAGACAGAAACTGTGAATGTCTTGTATGAGACCGTTTTACTGATGATCTGTAGTTGATAGCGTCCAGCATGATCAGTTCGGGTTTTTGTGATGGTCAGAGATCCAGTTTCATAGTCCAGTTCCAGTCTGCCTCTGAATCTCCCACGATCCGCATCTTCATATGTGTTGAAGACTCCATCCTCCTTATTGATTTCAGCAATTAGAGTCTGTTCACGTCCAAACATCCAAAGTAGTTGCACACCTTTTTGCACCCTTATGTTCAGAGTAACAGAATCTCCCTCGATCACCTGTTTTATTTCCCCCGTCTCAACACCAAACACACCTGGAAAACAGTGGAACATGACCCGTCACTCAATTTAGTTTATTTAGATAGTAGATTATTTGGTCCAAACTCATCATTGTAAGCTGGTAAACAATTATAGACTATAAATAGATCATTTTAACATGTTTTTTTTTTTTTTAAATAAAATGGTAGCCAGGCGAACGTTAGCCGATGACCAGGTCGAAAACTGCTAACGTTACATCAAAAGTTACCGGATTTTTTTCGCAAATTTTTCGATTTTTTTCCCCCAAAAGGATTTTCCCAGGATTTATTATAGAATTCTGACTAAGCTAGCTTATAGCTTAACTATCGAAATAGTACCATACAAAATACAATTTAGGCTAACTTACTTACCAAACAGGTGTCCGTAATAACAGAACCAAACAAACGTATAAAGCATTTTCTTTGACTGAGACATCACTTCTGCAAAATAACGAAAATTTCCTAAAACTTTGCTGAGGCTCTTGTGAGTTTCAGCACAATCTGCATTTAAACGGAAAACTTGAAGCGACGTCGAAACTCTGACGTTCTCTGCACGCACGCCGCCGTGTGTGTGTGTGTGTGTGCGCGCGTTGCCGTGCACGCGCGTGTGATCGCGCTCGATTGACAGTTAACGCTTATGTGTTGTTGTTTATTTCTGATCAGGAAAGCCTTATATATGAAGAGTTCAGATGCAAAAGCCTCTAAGTTTTTGGTTGTCACGTTAGAGGCTTTTGCATCTGAACTCTTCATATATATACGTATATATACGTGTATATATATATATATATATATATATATATATATATATATTCATTTAATTTATGCTGTTGTATATGTATGTATGTATTTATTTATTTATTTATTTAATATAGCCTAGTCTAGTACAGAGAGATTAAAAAGATTACATTATATATATATATATATATATATATATATATATATATATATATATATATATGAGTACAGACTGACCAAAAGAAGACATGTTAGTGGTTTTCTTGTGAATCAGCTTTTATTTTTTAGTTGTTTTTTTTACACTCTATGAGTCAAAACGAAACTTGAGGTGGTTTGATTCTTTTAGATCTGGAAAGAAATGTGGTTTAGGTCTGATAGATGGACACACATCTTGTAGAGTCGCTTCTGTAAACCCCTTCCTGTCCTTTTTGCATGAACCTTACAGACTGATTTCCTTTTACATAACAATAGTGTTTAATGTGTCAAATGCAAATGACGGGAAAGGTGTTGAAAATAACGTCTAATGAATTATTTAGTAAAGAACAGAAAGTAAGATGTACAGAAAGTAACATGACTGACACGTGATTCAAGATTTTTCGATGAAAACTGCAGAAATGTGTAATCAATGTCGTTAAAATGTTGTACATTTGAATTTGTTCCAGACATGGAAAGACAAAAACAGAGTATGTTCCTCTAGAAGATGTACAGGACGTGGGTCTAGGTGTGATTTCAGAAAAGTGTTCTGCTTCCGCTAGCCTTAACTTGAAACTAGCAGTGCTATGAAAGGTCAAGTTGTTTTATGTTACGTTTTTAAAATATATATTTCACGTGGACAAACTAGCCTTTACATTCACCATCTTAACAAAACTGCCTTTTCATGGAATACAAATGAGTAAATACATAATCTGGATATATGATCTTGCATCATTTTAAAGATACTGACTTTTACACGCAGTCATGTGGGTCTACAGGGGTCCTATCTGTGATGTCATTTCCTGTTTTTTTGGTTGTCACGTTAGAAAAAAATAGCTTCCTAAATATCGTTTACACCACTGTGTCTCTTTGGGGCATCAGACCGAAATTATTGCATGCATGAAAGCGCCAGACAGAACATCAGTGTAATATGATGTTTCAGTGTTGCATGTTGCAGGTCAAAGGTCACAGGTTTACAGCCTGGCCGTCCAGATGGTTTCCATCAACATATCAGTGTTTGGTGGGTAACCACACCGCAGGATCCACAATGCACAAAGTCCTGAGGATCACTGTCCTGCAGAGTTTATCTCCAGCGTTCCTCATACAGTAAGAGTTGATTGCCTGGTTCAGGAGTGTTTAAATGGAGTTGAAGATGAACTCTGCTGGACAGTGGCCCGTCAGGAGCATGACTGGACACCCCTGGTTAAAAGTGACTTTTATATAGATATACTGGAGCTCCACCTAGTGTTTAAGTAGTAATAAAATCTAACTAAACACTAATCATTTGCTGAGTCCCAATTCAAAGGCGAAATACGTCCTTTGTTTGCAGTGAAGGATACAACAATGATTGATTATCTGGCTTTCCTGTCCCAGGGCGCCAGAGAAGACATGGATTTTTTTTTTCTCAGAAAAAATGCCGAATTACACTTTTAAACCTAAGTATAGTTTCAACTTACTCAAATATCTAATGATATGTAGGCCTAAAAATAAAACAAACTCATTTAAAGCAGTTCAAATGTTGACCCTCTAAGATGTGATTATATCATTTATACACTTTACAAAGAAATGGACCATATTTAGACTGTTTGTAAACACTGTTTTCTTTTCAGACAGATTAATATAACTTCTATAACTTTTTTTATTAATAAAAAAAAGTCCAGTACAAATGGCGCTGTCACTCGTCAACAGCAGCGACACACAGTTGCTAGGCGACAAGAACAAGACCATCCCATTAAACAACTCTCAGTCCGAAAAACAGTCAAATTAATCTATATTGCTCTCTTGTTCTGCTTTTTTTGTCGTCGTTTATTCAATTATTCAAATAAATTGTTTCTAATAGATTATAATGCATTAAAAAAGTAAAATAAATAAATAAATAAATAAACCTAAAAGTTTATAACTTATATTACACAGTTAACAGACCACACAATTGAAACATTTTCTATGTTCATTTAAAAATGGAGAATTCACGGGAACATAATCTCCAAGAACAGTAATACGATCGATGATCTGTGCTTGTGATGTCCAGTTCAGGACAGGTGTCTCCTGAATTAAATGACACTGGAGCTCCACCTAGAGGCTGAAAGTATTAATTGCATAGAAATAGAAAAGAGAACTACAGCCTACAAGTCAGAGCTCTGCATAATTCCTTATCAGGCCCTTTACCTTTAAACAATATAACAATGTTTTTCATTTCCCAATATCTGTAATTCCTCTACTAGCTGTACAGATGTGAATAATTGAGACCACAAAAGCCTTTGACTCACGATCTGGAGCTGCAAGTGTGTCACATGATTTCTGTCCATCACATACAAGCTATATTGAACTAGCTATATATTGTTTAAGGATGAATAATAAAAGTGGTCAATAGTTGATGTAAAACTAATCTTTATTAAAAGTCACCAAAAACATTCAACAAGGGTCATTACAACATGAATCCCATGCATCAAATGTGGAGCTAATTATTATTTTGTTTAGAAGCCATAGATCAATAAAATATATATATATATATATTCTGTGCAAATACAATCAATAAATGTACGATGGATGAAAGCTCTGTAGGAAGACATAGTCGTAGTTTTTGTTATTTTTGGACCAAAATGTATTTTCGATACTTCATAACATTGTACCCAACCCACTGAAGTCACATGGACTACTTTGATGATGTCTTTATTTCCTTTCTGGACAAGGACGGTATACCGTACACACATTTTCAATGGAGGGACAGAAATCTCTCAGACTAAATCTAAAATATCTTAAACTGTGTTCTGAAGGTGAAAGGAGGTCTGACGGGCTTGGGACGACTTGAGGGAGAGTCAATAATGACATAATTTTCATTTTAGGTGAACTAACCCTTTAATGAACGTTTTAATTTCATGATTATACCAGTAAACTTCAGCAAACATATCTGGAACTGAAGCTTCTGCTCACTTCACACTGTTGGTCTGATATGACTCCAGGAGTCTGACAGTGATGTCTCGTCTCTTCTTCTCTGATCAGCTCTTGTCTTGTAGATCTGATGTCATAAACCAGCACAGCAACAGTAGCCACGCCCACCAGAGCCGATACGACCAATCGGATCGCAGCTTCAGTGAAACCACAACAGTGGATGTGGTCTGGAAAAAAAAGAAAAATGCTGAATTAGAACTGTGCATTCAATTCCCCTTTTCACTACTTTTTTTCCTAGTATTGTTTAAAATAATAAAATTATAGAGTATTCTAAGAGCTTCAGCCCCTTGATTTACCTCAGCTCTTCTAGAAACCTGAGATTATGTGACTCTTCCTCCAAAATCTTTTTCTGCACTAATGTTTTCTAAAACAACACCCCCCCCCCCACACACACACACACACACACACGCACACACACACACACACGCACACACACACACACATACACACACTCACCCACCTACACACACCTGCTTGTAGCTCTTCTGTGGTCTGTTCTCTGTACCAGTTTAATCACAAAAGAAAAAAACAGCAAATGCACTTGTGTGCACAAATAGTTTGATCTTTCTATGAATGCATGAGCCGATCGAATTTAAACCTTGAATGCAATCAAAGTTGCTTTGGATAAAAGCATCTTTAAACTGCATACATGCATAATAATACATGCATAATAAAAATCTTGCAAAATTAATTGGTTTATGTGGTTGACGGTTCAGCATGCATCAGCAGTAACAACAGCTATGAACAGGTTTGGTCACAACTTGCACGAGTGTTTCCATCATAATCTTTTTAAGCTGTATAGGAACTGATATTGCACTGACTGAAAACATTTAACAAGAGTGAGAGAGTACCTGAACTTGGCTGATAGAGATCAGTAATGTTGGCGTCCTGAGTCTGGATGATGGTTGAATTGTTCACAGCACAGCTGGACGACCATAAATTGGAGCTTGTTGATGATCTTTCTGTTGATGAAGTACTTTGAGCAGACTCTGATAATGACAGATGACACTGTGACGTTAGTCTCATCACACACACTTCTGATGTTATTTTATAGTAGATCCATATTTTAAATGGAACTAATGCCATTGAGACATCACAAAATGATGGAATAGTGAAAATAACTGAAAATAAACATAAAATATGACTATTACTCTATACTTACTATAGACTGTGAGATTGAAACTCATGTAGCTGGTGTCTTTGCTGATAACTGTTACTTTATAAAGTCCTGAGTCTGAGATTCTGGTGTTTGTGATGGTCAGAGATCCGGTTTGATCCAGTTTCAGTCTGTCAGTGAATCTCCCATCAGGACCATTATACGTCAAGCTGGTTTGTGTGAGTCTGCTGACTTCAGCGATTCGAGTGCTTCCGAACGTCCACTGTATGTTCAAATATTTCTGTGTTTCAGTGACATCAGTGTTTAGAGTGACAGAATCCCCCTCCATCACTGACACTGACTTCACTGACTCTGTCACATCTACAGAAAAAAGGAACATATTTTGTAAAAGACATGATGTTTGTTATTAATGACCAGTGATTTGTATTTATAGACATTTTTTTAGTGAATGTTTAATGAATTGCAGAAAACTTTCAAAGAATTCAGGAGTTCAGCTTCAATGTCAAGTGCCAGCTCTCACTTTCGTGTGCAAACAGAAGCGAAACTACAACAATTATTTTTGGATAAGACTGATTTAAAAATAAATATCAAATTTTGTTTTGGAATTCCTTCCACTACAAATTACAGCATTCTCCAGAACAAATAAATTATGTTAGTAAAGATATTAAAGAGACAATAAACTGATAAACTTGAAATAAAAACCAACGTAATACAAAGAGTTGTCTTTATAAGGGACGTCATAGTTTAAAACACTCATGACTTACCAAGACGCCACAAGCACACAAAGAACAAAATAAAAGCATTAACCATATTCCTTGGCCGTTTGTGAATCACTTAAAACACGCAGTAAACCACTTTGAAACCGCCCGTTCACATCATAAGCGACCACTTGCTGCTGTTGCAAGTCGTCAAACGACCGTCTCCAGTGGGCGTTTCCATTGTTTGCGGGTACATACGCTCAGAGAATGTCTAATTGGTACGCTCATAGACTGTAAGATGTAAACAACACTGGTCCAGAAACACTTCCTGTTTCAGTTTGTAACTGTTTTCTGTATTTCACATGTAAAGAAAACGTCTTAAAGATGTTTGTTTAACTTTTTGATTCAGTTCTGTTGGTTGTATTTTATCCCAGCTTTTATTTAGTGTTAAAAACTGAAACAGGAAGTGCTTGGACCAGCGCTGTTTACATCTTGCAAAATGTCGTTTTGGATGAGGAATATAAAATGGAATAAATCAATAAAATTGATACTTAAAACGAACTAGGAAATCATAAATCTTTTCCAGCAGCCATATACCCGCCTACAGAAATGGAAGATGAAATCTGCAATGACAATAAATTAAATAAATAAATAAATAAATAAATACGCAAATAATTAAATAAATACACAAAAATTATAAATAAATTGGCAAATAAAAACACAAATCCACATATTACAAAACAATAAACTTCACAGGAGGAAAAAATTTGAATTTTTTATCATATGTTTTTTTTTTTTTTTTTTCATATAGGCTATATATATTTTTTATGTAGCCCAAAGGATATCAATCAAACATCAGAAGGAGGGTGGTATGGCAATAGCATGCGATTATGGAAATTCATTCAAAAATATTTTAGCATTTTCTTTAATAAAAAAAAAAATCAACATTGTTTTATTTATTTATTCAGCCTAATTAATGTATTTATTTGAAATTTTATTTATAATATTTAAGTAGAATTGTATTTATTTATTTATTTATTTATTTATGTTTTTTTTTTTTTTTTTTTTTTTTGTAGGTTTTGTACTGTGCTACGTCATCAAACACAGACGAACTAGTTGAGATGTTTGAGGTATTGTAATGTCTAAGTCACTGGACTTTTGACTTGGCATTTTTATATGAATCTTTCGCACTTCGAAACAACAAAGTCGGAAAGGCAACTTCGTAAAACACGTTACGTTTTGTCGTTTGGATAAATTGTGTAACTCTTTAGAAACTCTTTTAGAAATTAGCTGGAAGACGCGTTCTGACACGCCCTGCTCGCCAGACATTTGCTCTACATTTATTTTAGAGATAGCTAGGTCTTCTTTAAACTTCGTTGTTGAGAAAAGTCTAGAGTCGTAGAGTCTAAACTTGGAGTCTATTTTTTGTGACTGTGTTTTGAGTTTAGTTTAGTTCTCAGCATTGTCAGTCTGTCTTGCTACCACGACAAACGACAAAACACGACGAGACAAACGACAAACACGAGATTCAGCGGAACACAAATACAGAAATCTCATCGATCATATTCATTCAAGTCAGATACAGCTCAACAAAAACACAACATGTTGCTTTTTCTGTTCTTTTTATTTATGTACGGTAAGTTTAGAATCTCGTTACTTTTGGTTTCGATTTGAAGACATAATAAACAAGTTTTTTTCTAATGATTTCAAGATGTAGTGATGACAAAAGAACTCACAAACACAATAAAGCTAACATAATGAAAAACATAGCCTATTCTTTATGAGTATTTTTATCCTGAGATGGGATATCCCTATTTCAGAAGCAACATAGCATTAGGCGAAGACTTGATTTCAAAGTTTCAATGTTTGTTTAATACAACAGCCTATGAAAGGAAGTCTTGCAGTGTTGCTTCACAAGTACATTTATCATATTAGGTGTGTATGGTTTTACATTAGTCTTTTTTTTTCCATCATATTCTAAAAAGGCAGCCTAATCCAAGATTTGTTTGTCTTTTCAGCAGCTCACAAAAAAATTACATTTGAATCTGTTTGCTGAAATGATTCAGGTTTTGTAGTACCCATGAAAGGGAGTATGTTAGGGGAGAGCGGGGCACAACGTAACACTTTTTGACTTTGTTAATTTGTGTAAATCTACTTTACCACATGTCTAGTACAATTATGTGGTTTTGTTTTATTAACACAGTGTATACTTTTTTCTTGATTTACCCTGAAAGAATGGAAATGAAACAACATGCCCCATAGGTGGGGTACATTATAACATCACCATATAGCAGCTTAAAATGCTATCTGATTTAATCATAAAAATATACAAGTCAAACCAAAATATTTTCTTATCATAAAATACAATTATTAACTTTTTTATATACAATAATGCCATTTTTTAATAATTAAAAAAACTAATTTTTGAGTTTGATGACAAACACACCGGAAAACTCAGCTATACAGCATAGGCAGTTCAAAACTAAATAATAATGAATAATTCCTGAACATTGACTCACAGTCTTTATTTACATGCTTCTCTTGTTTTCTCAATAGAATTCATAATAGAATATAATAGCACATGCCCCAACAGCACAACTGGGGTTTAAACCCGGCTAGTGTCTTCTGCTACTTAGCGAAGCATTAAAGAACTATATTAAACAACAGATTAGAGATTAAAATAACATCAGATTTGTCTAATTTTAAATAAACAGAAAAAATAGAGATGAAAAATTAACTGGTTAAATCAATGTTCATTACAATCTTACAAAGATTTCGGAATTTTGGCACAATTTTTGGCTCATTTCTCTGTATAATGAAATGGCAACTAGTAAATACACCAAGTTTCATCATTAAAACAAGCATGTTACAGCTAGCCCCGCATTAGTGCCCCGCGCTCCCCTAAATAGCCTACTCATGAGATGCTTCAAATCACAGCTTTACAATGAAGCGAATCACAAGAGCTTCCTGATAAAGAGAACAGGCAGGATTGCAGCATTAACTTTTAGATTTTTAACATTTATATTAATTTACCAGGCATATTAATTAATGCAATAGAGTGCCGCAGTGATGAGGTCACTTTGTAGGACAACCCGGAAGCTAGCATTGCATGGGTTCCCTCGATCGAAAAGCTATGGATTTTCCCCATACACTTTTGGAAAATTGCAAAAAATAAGATCTGTGTTGAACAAAGAGTTGTGACCCTTACACGTTTTGTCTATCAAGATAGCCTTTACAAGTTAATTCAAAATGTATAGCCTAAAGTACCAAAAAAAAAGAAAAGAAAAACACAAGCAGACACAAAAAAGTTAAAAAACAAAACAAAACACAAGCAGGTTATAACTAGTGTGTTTTATGTCGTATATTAAAACGTGAAAATATTTACAGGCTTTGTTCACCACAGATCTTATTTCAGGCGATTTAGCAAAAACCCATTTAAAAAAACCCATAGACTTTAGAGCGAAGGAAACGGGACTGCTAACTCACTTCCCTGTTTTGGCCTACAAAGTGACGTGATAACTTCGGCACTCTATAACATTTTGAAGTATTTGACAACATATACATTTTTATTAATTATTTAAATTGATTACTAATTGTATGAACTGAAATGATCCCATGAATTAAACCTCAGAAAACTTTTCAGCATATTGCAGTTTCAGTAAAACTTGTTCTGTTGCTTTTCCAGGTGTGTCTGGTACAGAGACGGATAAATCTGAGCCTGTGCCCGTAATGGAGGGAGATTCTGTCACTCTACACACTAATCTGACTGAAATACTCAATGATGATACTATTCTGTGGCTGTTTGGACCTAAAGAATCTTTCACAGCTCAAATAAGGAGAAAGGACGAGTTAACTTCATTTTCTGTCACCGATGATATGTCATTCAGAGGCAGATTACAGGTGAACGAAAACACTGGATCTCTCACCATCAGGAACACTAGAATCAGACACTCTGGACTATATAAACTCTCCATCTCTAGAGAAAAGACTATGACAAAGATATTTAATGTTACTGTCAGTGGTGAGTATATCAAGTCTTTTATTGTAACTTATCTGCTTGTCCACCATTGGGCCTAACCGTTCCCATTGCTTAATTGTTCCATTCGGTGCTGAACTGGCCCAGCCAGTACGGATATGTTTAAGCTGATAACAAGCTTTTTGGAGTGTAATATAAATCATATGAGACGATATGAGATGTAAGTAGCAACCATGTAATGGAGGATGGAGGATTTTTTTTTTATGTTTTATTGTATAATTAACTTGTTTTAACTTAGATCAAATAGCATATGGAAGCTTGTTTCTGCCATGGAATTAAAAAATAAAATCATAATTGTGACTTTTTAATATCATACAACTCCGACTTTCTTTCTCCCAATTGCAAGTTTATATTCTGACTTTTTTCTCACAATTGTATGTTTATTTTGCAATTCTGACTTCTCACAAGTTTATATACGCAAATTGCGCTTAGGCTACACCTCGCAATTCTAACTTTTCCTGCAATTGCGAGTTTACATCTCACAATTCTGACTTTTCTTTTTTAGTTATGTGAGATATAAACTCACAATTGATAGTTATAAAGTTCCATTCTGAGGGAAAAAAATCTCTTCACAATTCTGACATTTTCTTACAATTACGACTTTTTAATAATCTTTACTTTATTATTAAAAAAAAGTGTAATTCAGGCATGTTTTGGTGTTTTGCAGACATGGTTGGTGAGACAGAGGCAGTGAAGTCAGAGTCAGTGACAGAGGGAGAGTCTGTCACTCTACACACTGATGCTGAAATGCACAAAGATGCTCTGATGCTGTGGAGATTTGGAGATAAAGGCGTCATCCTAGCTAAAATTGATACTGAAGCTAAAACATTTACATTAAACAATACTGATGAGAAATTCAGAGATCGACTGCATCTGAGTCAGAATGGATCTCTGACCATCACTAACACTAGAACCACAGACTCTGGACTTTATGAACTTCAGATCAGAGGCAGTGAGAGCTCACAGCGATTCCTTCTATCTGTCACTGGTGAGTAACTCTTAAGTTACTTAAAGAGTATATCAGTGTAATGACATATGGCAGAGTTTAGCTCAAACCCTGATCTCAATTAACTTCCTGTGATTTAGTAGTGATCCTGAAAGCTTTGATAAGTTTGCTCAGGTGATTTTGATCAGGGTTGGAGCTGAACTCTGCAAGCATTGGCCTTCCAGGGCAAGATTTGAGGAACAGCATACAGTATATTAGCATATATTAGAAGTCATTTGAGATCATCACATTGTCTGACTCTTTCACTATCTCTCTTTTTAGCCAAAGATCCAGGTCTTTCTTCGGGTGATATAGCAGGAATATCTTTGGGCGTTTTAGTTCCTGTTCTGCTTGTGGCTGCAGCTTTTGCTCTGCTTTACTATCGCCGCAGAATCTCTAAATTAAAAGGGCAAATGGGTAAGTATTACATAACATAAAAAGAATTTCCGTTTCCTTCAAACTTACTAAACTTACAAGTTGACAAGTCGAACGACGTGCCAAGTGAGACGAATTGTATGAACGGCGTTCGTGTTTCCTAAGATGGCTCCTGTCTGTATACATGAAGTGAACTGTCTTTATAAAATATCTTCTTATTAAACGGTCTGTACACTTACCAAGTTCTCAATGCTTCGTTTTGCATGTATGGACCCTCATTATGTTTCTGTGTTAGTGTGGAGCTATTTTGAGCCTTGTTAGTGGTATAAACTAGCGATTTCTTTTTACTTATTAAATGCGCCCATATACTAGCGTCATACGCTAAACAGGTTTTAGAGATAAAACTCTTTACATTCGATTAGCATGAAAACAAATCTCAGAGAACGGTTGACTAGGTACCGATGTGTTATTAGACCAAAGGTTCATTTTGCGCCGGAGTTCTCCTTTAATATAAATACCCCACAATTTGAACAACTATTAATGTACTTAATGAACTTTAGTTATCCGAAAATAGTGCTGATATCCAACTTGTATATTTGATTGTGATAAAGTGGATATATTGCAAGTACTTTATGTACACTTTAAATATCTTGCATTTAAAGGCTGATATTATACAGAGATCATACTATCCTTTCCAGTAGTGATGTAAAAGACATTTTAGGCTTAATTTTAAGAAATGTGCAATGAACAATCAAGGTATAGGTTTTTTCACTAGAGTAGTTAGAGCAACTTTTCTCTATTTCTGGATCTAACGAGACACGTACGGGCGAGTGACGTATACACAATTTGGTGTAAATGGTGTAATGTTGAACCTGAGAAAGTTACATAGTGTGCCTTTTAACTTTCCAGTTTCCCAGTAAAATTACTTTACAGTAACCTTAACATTTGACACAATATTGAAAGCCACCAACATATGCTCTTTTTTGCAACTCGCATCCTGTTTTATGTATTCTTTATTAATACTGTTGTTATATTGATTTTTATGAAAATATTTTTTTTTCCTCTTTTTGTGTTCAAGTGTTTAAAATTAAATAGGGTGGAGTTGGGGAAAAACAAAACTGAACAACATTTTTAGTTAAAAAAAACTACAGAAAAGTTGGAGATCAGTAAGTTTTGTGCATGCATTTAGTGTTACAACCCTTTCCAACCACTATTTCACTCAAAAATGTAACTTCTGCCATCATTTACTTAAGTCATTTTGTTTAAAACATGTTGTTGTCTATTTCATAGTGACCTCAATGTTCAAGCTCTAAAAAGAATCAAAAATGCACTATAAGGTTGACCAAATAATGCTATTTTCCAAGTCTTCTAACATCAGATGATAGCTAATGGATTGGACACTGTTATTCACTGATAATCTTCCACTTCTCCAATGTTCTGCCAAAACTGCTGATGTGCTATGCCATTTGTTAAATATGTCAAAGCACAATAAACAACTCTTGAGTAGTTGTTCTTTTCTTCATCTTTGTGCAAAAAAGAGAATTTGATCTGAGATGTGTGGCATTGCCAGCAATTTTTCAGTCTGTTCCTCACTCACTTTATGGTGTGGTTGGTATGAATCAATGTACAGTAATAGAGATGTCCACCTGCACACTCATGGACACATTTCTGTTCTCTGTTTCTGTCTACAATAGCTGTGACATGTGAAGAGAAAAAAGAGACCGTGATGGAGGGAAAATCGGTCACACTAAAAACCAGTCTAACTCAAATCCAGAGTACTGCTATGATCCAGTGGTGCTATGAAGCTGAAGACAATCTCATTGCTGAAATCAATGGAGGGAACAGAAGGACATTGCCAGGTGCTGATGGGAGATTCAGTAGCAAACTAATGCTGAATGAGATAACTGGAGATCTCACGATCAATAACATCAGAACCATCCACTCTGGACTCTATAGACTAAAGATCACCGGCAGCAGAGGAACCATATACAGTCTTACTGTCAATGGTAAAGTATAACTCTTCCAATGTGTTATTATGCACTAAATAAAAGGTTTAGATGATCTGAAACTAAAGCTTTTTCAAAGTGCTTAATCTTTAATTACTTTTAGATTGCTTGCAAGTACACGGCCACTTTGTGAATTCATAATGTTATGTGAATATACAATTAGGAGATTGGTTGTATTATTGCATTAATAAATTAGGGATATTTTGAGGAAAAACAAGTCACACAATGAGAAGAGGCATGATCAGGAATCAAAGTCAAAGATAAGCGATGGTTTGGCACACTTTTAATTAATCTCCATTTCTCCAAGTCTAAATCTTAATTTCTTGTTTTTACAGATCTTTGTGAATGGGGTTGTTTTGACAACGTTGTTTGTACTCAAAAAACTGCTGTTTTAGGATACATTTACAGGACAACTAGAACTAAAACAGAGGTTTTTCCTTTGCTTTTTTTGCACGTACAGATGACTTCATTGTCAAAATAATTCCTGTTCAAACAGATCCAAACATAACTAAAAACACTGTATTATGCATGCCAGAAAAGTAGGTGATGTTGCTTTGTAAAGAAAAAACCTTACAGGTTTTTCTAGTTGAAGTGGCTCGTGGAAGTGGTTAACTTTTTCTAGTTCAAAAACTTGCACACCCCTCCCAAATGTTCAAGAGGTGGTTATAGCCTTGACTTAGATGTTTCACAAAAAAACGCTATATTTACCTCATGAAAACCATTTGCTCGAAAAAGAAAAAAACTTGTAATGAAAACTAAACTTTGATGCCACTTTTTAAGTGTTTATTTTGAACGGTTATTTCATTAAAAGAAAATATATAAAATGTTTGTATGAATTTAACTGTTAATTATTATATCTAAAAATAAGTCTGGACAAAGAAAGACATCATTATTTAGATATTTTGCTTTGGAAAATTTACATGTACTACATTCATTTTTGAAAAAGTGAAATAATTAATGTGACTTGAATCAAATCATGACATGTCCAGCCCTATAAAATATAGTTTGAAATGATTTATTGTAATAAATCTATAAATCATTCAATGGCTTAAACATCTAAATACTACAGCACATTCTGCTTCATGATTTGTGGATTCATCTTCTGCTCTGCTATCTGACTGCTTTGCTGTTATGTTCATTATGACTTTATTCTCATAATATTACAACTTAAATAACTAAAAATATAACTTTGCTCTGGTAAAAGGCTTAATAAAAATCTTATACATTTACTATAACAACATCCCCCTGAGAGCTGTATAATCTATAATTATTTTTCTGCATTAGCTCATGTTTTATATAGGTTACTTTTTTTGGTAAGTTGTTAGTCTAAGTAAGTTGTTAGTCTAGTCTTTAGAAGCCACAATAATGTGTTTTGCAGGAAGTTTTTCTGCATAATTTTGCTTATACCTCATAAGAAACAAAATAGATGGTTCTGCTTGTGAATGTTTAGTTTTCTTGCACCCTCATGGAATTCAAAAAATGAACTTCATGTTCAGTAACATGCCAAAATAGTTGATGAAATCTCATCTAAATGTATGTAATGTTAAAAATGCAAACAAAATTTAAGCATTTGTTGTTCTGTATTTCTCTGTCTCTGTGTGCTGCTGTGACATGAAGTGAGTTCAATGTCAGTGAAGGCTGGAGATCTTGCCCTTCTCCCGACCGCTGCTACAATACAGCCAGGTGATCTGATACTGTGGACGTTTGGAGCCGAAAACAGTCTCGTTGTTAAAACTGATTTAAGAACGACTGATATTAATGAGAGATTCAGAGACAGACTGGAGCTGAACAATACGACTGGATCTCTGACCATCAAAAACATGAGACCTACAGACTCGGGACATTTTAAACTACAGATCATCAACAAAGAACACACTACATTCAGCAGATTCAATGTGACGGTCACTGGTGAGTCGAGCATTTATTAAAAAACAGTCCTCAATGGTTTTCCAACTGTGCTTTCGCAATCCAGGTTATGTGAGCAGTGCGAATCACTAGTTAGTTAGTGCGGTTCATTTGAATGAGTGTGAACGCTGCCATCCGAACCAAACAAGCAGATCGAGAGAACAAAAAAAAAAAAAAGATGGGTCTCTTCCACTTCCAAACTAACTCTGGTGTGATTCGAATGAAATATGAACGCAACATGGACTAATGACTTATAAACAAACCAAAAACTGGACATGTCACTAGATGTGACCCTAAAAAGGTCAGAATCCTCAATCATAACAGATTTTTCTTGTCATATTCATAATGTTGCCCATCACAGTTCAGTACAGGCAAGTTTTGATTTATTTACATATTTTGAGCTCAGCTCACCTGCTCAAATACTGTAAACGTTTCGGCTTCAGACACACAACGAGCGTGTTTATCCCTGAACACTGCGTTGGTTTGGATGTTTGGTGAGTTCTGTCTAAAAATATACGTGATCAAAGCCAACAGTCAGATTGTGAACATATCCAAATGCCTTTAGGTTCAGTTTTAAAATGCCAATGTGAACTCTAAGCAGACCAGGACTTTTTTTTTTGGACCGGACCAAAGGAAACAAGCAAATCGAACTACAAGTGTGAACAAACCCTAACTTAAAAAAAAAAAAAAAAAAAAAACGTTTTTCAAGGAAAAAGATATGTAGTTATCCATATTGTAAAAATATTAGTTTGTATATATTTTTTTTGTTTAGTGTACATGTTTAGAAACTCTTGAGATTGTTTAGCTTTGACATCTTCCATATGTAGATGTAAATTCAAAAGCATTTCTTTCTCTTATTTATTTTTCCATATGATTTCTCTCTATTTTCTTTTAGATTCCTCAGCAGACCGAGTGGATGGACCAGCAACTGTGAATTTACCGCTGTTGAATGAAGATTTTTCTGATGGAGAGAATGAGCAGCAGAGTTCAGTGTGATGCGATAAGACACGCCCACCAGTGTCAATCACTATGACATCAACAATCAAACTCAACAAAAGATTTCTGCTTTATGAAAGTGAGAAATAAACCCGTGTGCAGGAAAAAGTCAAGTATTCCTCGCTGCAGACTGTAACGCGGTGACGTCACGTATTCGAGACACGCATGTGTTATCATGCATGCGCCACAGCTCAGTGTTGGGCGCGGCTTTCTTTGGCCAAGGACCACCCAGAAGCCGTTTGAATGACATGTAAATCAACCAATCAAATTTCGTTTTGAAACGATTTTTCTCCAGTGCTGTGACGTATTTCCAAGTGAAACGGAATATTGAACAGAGGGCAGGGTTTTACTCTAGCGCTCCTCCTCTCCATCTCTCGCTCATAGCAAACTAACGGTTTGAGGGGAGTGGTTAAGCGTTTCCCCACCCAAGCTGTGAAACCTATGTCATCAGAAAAAGAAACCATTCCAGACCGGAAGTAACTTTTCTAGTAAGATTCGGAAGTAACTTTTTAGTTTCGGAACTTTTTAGTTTTGTTTCGGAAGTAACTTTTTAGTTGATCCTGATAAGCACTCATAGTCCGTGTGAGAGTGTTTGGTTTTTCCAGGTGCATCGTTAAAGAACTACTCACTGCAGAACAAATACCTAACCACACCCTAACCCCACCACAACTCTATCCCTCCACCCCATTGGATGTCCATAGAGGTGGAGCTGGATGTCATTCGACTGCAGTGAGTACCACTTGAGTTTTGTGCCACATGCATTAGAGACGTTCAGCCAACGGTCCATGGGGGTTATGTCTGAGGCATACATTTACATCATAAACACACTGCTCACTTCACACTGTTGGTCTGATACGACTCCAGGAGTCTGACAGTGATGTCCCGTCTCTTCTTCTCTGATCAGCGCTCGTCTTGTAGATCGGATGTCATAAACCAGAACAGCAACAGTAGCCACGCCCACCAGAGCCGAGACGACCAATCGGGTCACAGCTTCAGTGAAACCACAACAGTGGTCTGAAAAAAAAAAGAAAAGACTGAATCAAAATTGTGCATTTAGTTCCTTTTTAAAATACCTTTTGCTAGTATTATTTAAAATAATTAATATTAATTCTAGAGTCTAGTTCTAGTTTTTTAACCTCAGCTCTAAACCTGTGATTATGCGAGTCTTTCTCCAAGATCTTTTTCAGCACTAATGTTTTTTTAAAACAACACCACACACACCTGCTTCATGACTCTGTCGCTCTTCTGCGGTCTGTTCCAGAAAAAAAAAAACAGCAAATGAAAATCTCATTCTTTCTCTATTATGCATGAGCCGATCGAATGTAAACATTGAATGCAATGCAAGTCGCTTTGGATAAGAGCATCTGTCAAATGCATACATGCAGTGATTAAAAAAATCTTGCAATATTAATTGGTTCATGTGGTTGATGGTTCAGCATGCATCAGCAGTAACAACACCTATGAATGGGTTTGGTCAAAACTGCACGAGTGTTTCCGTTCTGACATAATGTTTTTGAGCTTTACAGGAACTAATATTGCACTGACTGAAAACATTTAAAGGGGAATTCCACCGGTGGAGACACACTGTAAAAAAAATATTGTTTGTTTAACTTAAAAAAAAAGGATAAAAGGAGATTGATTTAATCATCAAAAACTCAAAATAATAAGTTATCTGAACTAACTAAATTATTTAAGTTGATTTGACAAAAGAAAAAATGTGATAGCAAATCTTGAAAATATTTTTTTTACAGTGATTGAAAGTGGGTCATACAGTGGTGTGAATAAGTTTGGACACCCATGCTAAAGTTGCCTAAAAAGAGGAATAAAAAAATCATCTTTTGGATATTGATCTTAATGCCTTAATTATAAAAATGAGGAAAACTCCAACCTTAATTAAAATATCCCCACATCATCACACACCTTCCACCACACCTAGAGATTGGCATGGGGTACTTTCCATAAGATCATCTTTCAATGCAAATCAAACCAGCTATTAGGCTAACTGAAGTAAAACCATGCCAATCTCAAGGTGTGGTGGAAGGTGTGTGATGATGTGGGGATATTTTAAATCCAAAGGCCAAGGGAACTTTATCAGGATGCATATTATCCTGGATCCATGAAATAACTGGCTTTTAAAAATAAAAATCTGCCTGACTCTATGGGAATTTAACATAGGGGGGCAATGACTTATGCACCCTGTATTTTAAGGAAAAACATTTATTTATTTATGATACATTATTCATTCACAAAGAAAATTGGTGTCCTTAAAGTGTTTCCTCATTTTTCTAATTAAGGCATTAAGATCAATATCCAAAAGATGATTTTTTATTCCTCTTTTTAGGCAACTTTAGCATGGGTGTCCAAACTTATTCACACCACTGTATATGTAGTAGAATAGTCTCATAAATTTCTAATTTGGGTCCTTCTTGGCTGATAAAAGGCAGAAAATGACTTTTTAGTGCTTGTGGATTTTAGACAACAATCCCCATAGTGCATTGCAAGACCACAAGCTACGCAGGCCACTCCCACTACTCCGCCCATCAATGTATACTAGAGTTGAGCTCCGTCTGCGTATTCAGTACCTTCATCCATATTTACAAAAACTTTCTTCCGGTGAAATCAAACGTACTGGCACTGATGATTGGTCTGTTAGCGCAGTGTTTCCCAACCCTGTTCCTGGCGGCACACCAACACTGCGTGTATTCTTTGTAACCCTTATCAAACACACCTGACTCAACCCATCAGCTCATAATCAGGTGGGTTAATGAGCTGATGAGTTGAATCGGGTGTGTTTGATTAGGGAGACAAAGAAAACACGCAGTGTTGGTGTGCCGCCAGGAACAGGGTTGGGAAACACTGTGTTAGCGCATTAGGCCCAACCCCCTATGGGCGGGTGCTTGTAGTCTTGACATAGTGCTTGTAGTCTTGACACCCCCCCTTACACTTCCTCCTACAATGACGTAAAATGACGATTTTTGTGTCATTTTAGGAGGAAGTGAACAAGGTAAATAGCGGACTTCTCTTATCTCAGGGGAAGTTTATTGAGTGTTGCACGACCATTCAATAGTATGACTGGATTTCTAACAATGGAAATCTTAATGCAAATGGGTGGCGTGTCCCTTTAACAGAGTAAGAGTGAGAGAGTACCTGAACTTGGCTGATAGAGATCAGTAATGTTGGCGTCCTGAGTCTGGAGGACGGTTGAATTGTTCACAGCACAGCTGGACGACCATAAATTGGAGCTTGTTGATGATCTTTCTGTTGATGAAGTACTTTGAGCAGACTCTGATAACGACAGATGACACTGTGACGTTAGTCTCATCACACACACTTCTGATGTTATTTTATAGTAGATCCATATTTTAAATGGAACTAATGCCATTGAGACATCACAAAATGATGGAATAGTGAAAATAAATGAAAATAAACATAAAATGACTATTACTCTCTACTTACCATAGACTGTGAGATTGAAACTCATGTAGCTGGTGTCTTTGCTGATAACTGTTACTTTATAAAGTCCTGAGTCTGAGGTTCTGGTGTTTGTGATGGTCAGAGATCCGGTTTGATCCAGTTTCAGTCTGTCAGTGAATTTCTCATCAGGACCATCATACGTCAAGCTAGTTTGTGTGAGTCTGCTGACTTCAGCGATTCGAGTGCTTCCGAACGTCCACTGTATGTACAAATATTTCTGTGTTTCAGTGACATTGTTTAGAGTGACAGAATCCCCCTCCATCACTGACACTGACTTCACTGCATCTGTCATGTCTTGAGAAAAAAAAGAAAAAAAAAAGATTATTGTTGATAATGACCAAACTATCAGTCATCATTATACGCATGTACTCAGAGTGTACTAAGTATACTTGAAATTGCCTCAATTTAGCATCAAAAAGTAAACTAAATACACTTAAAGTTGTACTTTAGGATAATTTTATTTTAACTAAAATACACTTAGTACCAAAAAAATAAAATAAAAAAAATAAAAAAAAATTCCTCACTTCAAGTTAACTAATCATTAACACACTTGAAGTATATGACTAGTCTTGCTGCAAGTACTTAGCATATTATTTTTTTTTACACTACAGCAGTTAAAGTGATTTGTATTATGCAGACATTACAGATTCTGTTTTGGAATCCCTTCCACAAAATTTCTCAGCTTATATTGATCAAATATATTAAAGAGAGAAGATATCGAGGGTTTTTTATGAGAAGCACTATAATGCACATTGTTTAACTTACCAAACAGACGCCACAAGCTCAAAAAGAACCAAATAAAAGCATTAATCATATTCCTTAACCGTTTGTCTTCAACTTGTCACGCAGTAAACCTCTAAATATCACATCTTAGTTCACATGGACACATTGTAGGCGTTCCCACTGCAGGTTGCCAGCGGATGTCTAACGTTAAAAGTAAACGCTTTTTGGGGGGCGGGGGTGTTCGTGTTAACGAACTAGGAAAATGTGTGCTCTTTTGATTTTTACTTTGATGGCTTTCAAATGCGTATAACCTACTTCATATGCCACCTAGAGCTACTCATTAAGTAGGGGCTAGGCTACATCAGTGTTATCATGTCGAGAGAGCAGCACGTGTTAAACCTACAGCTACATTACCTACAAAAAGATGCGGCACATACTATTACTCTTTTCTATGCTTGTTATTAATCTACGATAGGCTATGTCTCCTTTTTTACTTCCGGTTTCGATAGACTATTACGCCAAATGTATGGAAATTAATAATGAACATTTGTGAATATGTCATAGTGATCCGTGGTCATCGAATTTGAATGCACTGCTGCCGAAATTGCCAGGGTCAGTGAAAAATGAAATTCACAGATTCGAACTTCCCGGATTAATAACTCGTGAAATAAACTTTGTTACTACACAAATAACAGCTCTTTTTCTAGAGACGAAGGGGCCGTCTGTAAAGTGCAAAACCAGAAAAGCGTATTAATGAATATTGACTGATTAGGGGCTACATTCCTGCAAGTAAACATGATAGACGAACAAAATAATCGGTCAGGATATCCATCCCATGTCTGCAGGCTGATAGTAGTGTTATTTATTTTTCTGGTGAAAGTGTCTCGTCTCAGTCTATAATGCAAATCGATTTTTTTAATTTGCAGATTCATTGCAGCTTGATGTTAAAATATTGACGTTATGGCTATTATTTACCAAAAATTGAATTAGTATTCATTATGTAAAACAATCGCCACTAGCCAATAGGTTAACGTTATAAAAAGACGCTGGCTTGTAAAAGTGAGCTACGACTGTCATGAAACTAGTACAAGGCTGTTTGATGTCCTATTTACATCTGGACGACGTATTTTTGTTTGCGCATCTGACAGGAAACGTCCTATAGACGTCTTGCAGATGAGCAAACAACCTTAAAAATACGTCTTCCAGATGTAAATAGGACATCAAACAGCCTTGTGCTAGCCATGTACCTGACATTTCATACACAACCCTGGCAGTCTGCCCAAGATGTGAGAACTCAATTCCTTCTGCAGAGTTCGGGGTATCGCTTGTCAACAAATGCACCCCTGTATTCCCTAGTAACCATGACAGAAGGTTTTACGACAGTAGTAGAAGACAATACTGTTTCCCAACTGTAGGGGGACCCCGGGAGCAAAATTTCAAAAATAACAATGTTGCTTTAAAAATTAATACTGAAAGTCTTTCAAAACTGTTTAACTAATAGAAGTAATTGGAAAGCCATTAAGTACACTTTTGCGCCCAAGCTCATGTATATTTTTAACAAAACAAAAAAACATTAAACATGTTTTTTTACTAAACATTTTTATTTGCTGAGAATTCCTCAAGTACAGTACATAATCCGAAAATCAATCTCAGAGGATTCTTTCCAAAGGCTAAATCATCAGCACTGTTAACTGCAAGCATGGCCACAGGTGGTCGGGTAACACTTCTGTCTGGCAGGACATTGGCCATCATGGATCTACTTCTCGGCAAAGAGGCGAACGCGGTCCCAAACATCTACCAGGCGTCACTGCATGGATACAAATATTCAGCTTTAGTCTGTGCATTTAGCGTCATTCAATTTAAGAAACAGCACAAAATAGGAACAACTTTAACTTGGAGCAAGTTGTATTTCAAGTATTATGAATCTTTATTTCATAAAGAACTTTTGAGTTGGTGCTATGGGCTAAATTCAGGTACTTCGATTTTATCACTCGATGCAAATCTAAAGTAGAAACAAGTGCACAAATTAGACATTAGTATGCTGCGCATCAGATCGTATGAATGATCATACGTTGATAAGTGGCGGCTGTAAACAATAGTCACGTGAATATCACGGCCCTAAACATTCATGGTTTTGAAGCCTCATCTTGAGTTTACGCCACGGAGAAAAATGTAACCCGACCAAAGATGTTATCCTTGCTCAAATCTGTTAACCTCATAGGAAACATTTTACTTATAAAATGTCTACATAATTTATATTTATATTCAATACCAGCGAGCGAGTAAAACTAAACGTTTACAAACATTAGAAACAACAGCCAAGGTCATTTAAACCCCGTCAACAAATCCTTTAAATTCAACGGTATTCAAAAAAGGAAAAGTAGCTATGAATATTAAACTAGGCTATAAAATAACACAAATTAGGCTATGGTGGCTTATATAAAAAAAAAAAATAAATAAAAGTACCACATTGTCGTCCACATCTAGTGCTGCAGCATTTGTCTTTGCCCGGACAGTCACTGTCAGAGGAGCATGGCTTGTCACACTCTGTAATTGCACCGAGTTTGCTTGGACACACTCCTGGCTTTGGTTTAACTGCGTTTGGATGAAATTATATCAATGAATGCCGAGATGCATTCAAAAGAAAAGCTGACCCACAAACACGCACTAATATAAATACCTATGGTTGGAGGCCAACACTGACGTCCACATGCATTGCTGCAGCATTTGTCTTTGTCCGCACAGTCACTGTCATCGACGCATGAATCCTTACACACTCCTCCAAGGGGTATAACGGGACACACTCCTGGCTTTGCTATTTGTAAAACAAACAGAGAAACCAGATTAATTAATTCTGAACGTGTCATTCAACGCATGGGTCAGTTTTTACACAATTACCTGTATATGGAGCCCTACACTGACGCCCACACCCATTGCTGCAGCATTTCTCATCTTTCGGACAATCACTGTCTTGGGAACACGCCTCGGAACATTTTCTTTCTGCTTCAGGGATATTGTTTGGACACACTCCTGGCTTTGGTTTATCTGTCAAGTGTTTGTGTAACAGCAGATCAGTGAATGTTAAATTACTTCCTGTATTAGATAAAAACCAGATCCACACATTAATAAAATAAAAATACCTGTAAATGGAGCTGAACAAGTATGTCCACATCCATTACTGCAGCATTTCTGATCATTCGGACAGTCACTGTCAGAGGAACACAACTCGACACAAATTCCTACCGTTCCTGGAGGGAGTTTCGGACACACTCCTGGCTTTGGTTTATCTGTCAAGTGTTTGTATATCAGTGAATCTTAAAGGACAACCTGTATTAAAAAAATAAAAACCTGATCCACACATTAAAAAATAAAAATACCTTTAAATGGAGCTGTACACGTCTGTCCACATCCATTACTGCAGCATTTCTGATCATTCGGACAATCACTGTCAGAGGAACATGACTCGACACACGCTCCTACCGTTCCTGGAGGGACTTTCGGACACACTCCTGGCTTTGGTTCATCTGTCATGCGTGTGTATAACAGCAGCATATCACTTAACGAAGGACTTGCCAATAAAATACTCATTTATAATAAAATGCATTAAAAAAGCTGACTCACCACACAAAAATATAATAAAAACAGCACTGTCAAAGTCATTTTCCCTTTGAAAATGCAATTAACCAAAGACTGACTCAAAAGCTTTTTTTTTTTTTTTTTTTTTTTTTTAAATATACTAGTTGGTGTAACTTCACACAGACAATCTTGCTGGTGGGCTTTAATATAATTAACACCAAACTATCAGGGGATCTCAATAAGCTATTTATCCAGGTGTTATGAAAATTGGGGATATTTAGCAATATAGCTGGTGTGTGATGTGTATTATGATGAATAAGAAGGCTTTCTCCAATAAATACCTTTATATGGAGCTGTACACTGATGTCCACATCCATTGCTGCAGCATTTCTCATCTTTTGGACATTGACTGTCATGAGAACATGACTCGACACACACTCCTGCCACTCCCACTGAAATGACGTCACTTGGACACACTCCAGGCTTTGGTTCCCCTGTGTTTTAATAAAAAGCATATCCGTGAGTGCTGAATGACTCACTGTATTATTTTTATATCTGATCCACACACTAATATAATAAACCAAATACCAAGGTATGGGGCTGTACACCGACGTCCACATTCATTTTTGCAGCATTTCTCATCCCCCAGACAGTCATCGTCACGGAAACAAATTTCACCACCACACACATCATCTCCGTTTGTGCTTGGACACACTCCTGGCTTTGCTGTTATTCAAACACATGACCATACAGTAATGGGCTGAGTCTTAATTTAAGAATCATGGTGAAGTAAATTTCACTAAAATTATCATTTTTTGATCAAAAGGTTATAGCCATTTTAAAAGTGAATCTTTGAAATGGTGGTGGCACTATACAGTTGGTCTATAGACTCCAAAATTGGTCCAAATACTACTCATTATCACTATAAGTGCTCCAAATATCATAATTTTCGTATGTTCCATTTATAGGGCTGCCATAGACTCCCATTCTAAAGGAACAATAATAAAGAAAAAAGTAAACTATATGACAATGAACACATCTTGTAACAACTGAACACACATATCTGGTACAGTACACACACAAAAATAAATAACATTTTTATCCTTCATAATTCTGTTTCCCCATGTACAACTTTATTAACTTCTGCTTACAATTTACTGACCCCCATATCATCCAAGACGTCCATGTCTTTCTTTCTTCAGTCAAAAATAAGGTTTCTGATGAAAACATTCCAGGATTTTCTCCATATAATGGACTTCAATGGAAACCAAACGGTTCAAGGTCCAAATAAGAGTTTCAGTGCAGCTTCAAAGGGCTTTAAACGACACCGGACGATGAATATGGGTCTTATCTAGCGAAACAATTGCTAATTTCAAAAATAAATAAAAAAAGTTTAAGTTTTATAAGCACAATTGCTCGCATTGACCCTAATTCATCGTCTGGTGTCGCTTAAAGCCCTTTGAAGCAATGAAACGGTCATTTGGACCTTGAACCGTTTAGTACCCAATGAAAATCCTGGAATGTTTATCAAAAAAATTAATAAAAAAAATGTTTATTAATTTCTTTTCGACTGTAGAAAGGAAGACGTGGACATCTTGGATGACATAGGGGTGAGTAAATTATCAGCAAAAGTGAACTACTCCTTTAAACTTTCTATTTAGAACTAGGCCTACAACATAAAAAATGTATCTTTCACTGGACGTCTGTTGCCTACTGTAGGCATACTTATATAAACTAATATTCTATGATGGGCAAAAGCCATATTTTGTTCAGGTTGTTCACATATTTTTTCGCACTGTAATGAAGTTAAAAGAACTCACCCCTGTATCGATCATTTCGATCATCGACGTTTCTTACGCTCCAGCATACATAGGGACACAATAAAAGAGCGAGCAACGAGTAGTAAAGTCGCGCTGTCATCTTGAAACCTGCGACCACACAATGGACTCTGCTGGAAACGCTCTTTGAGTTTTTAAAGACACAACTGGCGTTTTATTGGGTCGACTGATGATTAGCCAACCTGATTAGCTCGTTCAGGTGTGCTCAAAGCTAAGGCGTAGCCTAATTGGGCGTTTCTTCAACTAGGGGAACTTTTATCCTTGTGAAGTTGAATTAAAAAAGTGTTCAAAAGTGGGTCTCTTATGTTTAATCTAATTTTGTCTAGTTTTAAGACTTAGATTACAAGAGAAATTGTTAATAGGCCCTATTTTATTTTTTTCTGACTTGCAATGAATGCAATTCCTAATTTTCATGCATTCAAATGCATTCCTAATTTCCAATACAGCTGTTATTTTAAAACTGATTAACTTATGCCACTCATGAATTGTCTGAGGTCATTTTTATAACTATTTTTATCAGTTTTTCCACAATGTAGTATACATTTGTCAATGAGATGAACTGCCTAAGGACCAAATTGCTGAACTGTACACCTGTCACACTCTGAAATGTATTGGTTAAAAAAAATTGGTTTGGGCAAGAGCATATTAAAGTAAATAACTTGAATTTGTATATTAAGTAGAGCATAATCTCATAAATTGTTACATTTTTAATGTGTGGTGAGAACTTTTCAATATTTTTTTTTTTAAATGTGTGATGTAAATGACAGGAGGGCGGTGTTGGAAATGACTGGGTGTTGTGGAAATGACAATGAATTATAAACGTATAAAAACAGTAGAGATATTTATTAGAACAACTCATCACACTCATTAAACTCTATTCACAGTCATTAAACAAAACAACTTGTTTTAGAGTCCTGCTTTGAAGTATGAAACTGATTTGTCTCACAGATTAATTGTGGCAATGCATACTTAAGTCAAAATAGATGCAAATTAAATCAATCAATATTGAAGTAATATAATTTACAAATAAAAATAATTTCATATTCCATCCATCTTCTCCCGCTTATCTGGGGCTGGGTCCGAAATTATCGTAGACAGGAGGGGAAGCTCATTTGCAATTGGGGGAATGTGGAGGCATAAAGTCAAGGGAGATGGCCGTAGAGAGTCATAAAGTTGCTCCTGCTGTGAGCTCATGGACAGCTAATGCTCACGCTCTCCGTCTCTGTGAGATTCGGAAGGGAATGATTCAGATTCCTCATGGCACAGCTACTAGAAGACGTGCAACTGTCAGAACGGTTGCTTACATCACATCTACATCGTCAAGCTCAGTTTGAGCCTGCACACAGTGAGACCTTAATGGTGCGTTCTATTATACCCAACGCACCGACTCGGACCTCGGATTTGACGTCACGTGCTTGTCCGAGTCGGAGAAAGCTGTTGTAATGGTAGCACTGGCCGAGTACCAGGCACTTACATTAAAATAAAAATATTATGACTACACCTTATCAAAACACAGCCATTTGAACTTGAAAATGTTCACTTTATTTAAAGTTTTTCATGTTAATCTTCTGTTAGCAACGCTAGTAATTGCACTCACAACAACCGATTCCCATACCTACAGGGGACGCAGTAATATAATACGAGTCATTACAATCGTCATTTAAAATACCAAAGCGGTTCAAAAACAATGAAAACAATTCATTCTTACAAGTCACAGGGCGCAGCCATCTTGAATTCCGAAACGGAATTCTTGCTCGGTGTCCTCACGGTTGTCCGACGTCCGAGAGGAGAAATCCGAGGAAAGGGGGCGTGTTGCTAGGCAACGTCTGTCGTCCGATTCGGATCTCCGAGACGGATGAATAATAGAACGCACCATATGTCCTGTTGTACCGAATATTGATTGGAGTTCCACTGAGGGCGATCGGCCGAGTACAAAATGAATGGGAGTCTATGGAGCGTCTAAATTTGTCTCGTTCACTCGATTGGCGTTGGGAAATCTCAAATTTGATTGTAGGTTTTTAAAGATCAACATGGGTTGTAGGTCGAAAGTTGAATGAACGAGTATTTGTCCATTCGATTTCTTACAGGTTAAGTTGTTGTTGCTCATAACACGCTAGCATTCTGCTAATGGACGCTGATTGGTCAGTGAAGAACTGATTATGGCCAGAGATTTGCTTGATGGTGTAAGGCCGTCTAAATTGATCCAATGGCGGCACTCGATTAGAAATGAGAGAAGGTCTCACACGACACGTGTTCCGTCTCTTCTCAAGGGGTTTTTGATTAAATGCAATACATTTTATCTTATGTATTAACTCGTTATTTCATCTGACTCCAGAAATGAAAAGGTTTTTCAATGATATGTGAGCATCATTAAATCTAGTTGATAGTTGTTCAAATTAAAACCATATAGACTCTTGTGTGAGTGTGGGTGATCTCTGCAAGAGTGGGGAATGCGGGGACGGTGTGTGTGTGAGAGGTGTTCAAATATTAATTTGCAAGCAAGGTCCTTCGTCTCTCAGACCTGTGGTGAGGTGGATCTCTTCAACCAGATCTTCCAGTCTAACAGATACCTCCTTGACCCCGTGGGTCACATTCAGACACTTTCGGGGTGGGGTCACAATAAGACATTGGTCGCGATTTTTGAGATGTAACTCAACAAGTGTCTTTGTAGAAGCTCAGAGGGCTTTGTTCACTTGCAGAACACCCGTTCTCACCAGGTGTTTAGCTTGAGTTCTTCCAAGGTGTCTGTGTGTGTGAGAAGAGTTCAAATGTTCATTTCGTCTCAGACCTGTGGTGAGGTTGATCTCTTCAACCAGATCTTCCAGTCTCACAGATACCTCTTTGACCCCATGGGTCACATTCAGACACTTACA